GAACACATGCCATGCATTGTCTGTGTCTCCCGTACCCTTTTGCGCAGTCATTCGCCGCGTGGGCGATTCAGACGTGCTCTGGGGACGAGACGGAGTGTCCAGCAGAGGTGTACCTGCGGCAGTCGAAGATGTGGATCAGCAGGACATTCACCTGGCTGTATATCGGGACCTTCATGGCCGCGTTCTTCGTCCTCGTTTGGATGTGAGTGTCACTTACTGAGACATGCATGCACCTGACCAACACACACCAAACACGCCGCCCCTCATTTATTTCTTCCCTCTCGTCTGCATGCCAGGTATTTTTCCAAGTACTCAGACATCAAGCTGGGCCGCGATGACGAGGAGCCCGAGTTCAACTCGATCTCGTGGTTCACGATGCTCTTCTGCTGCGGAGTGGGACCTGGTCTCTTCTACTTTGGCGTTGCTGAGCCGATTTTGCATTACGAGCCTTGCAGAGGGGAGCCGTTCGCAGGTGCAGTGCGGTTCGATACTGTCACTGGGGAGCACATAAAGGGGACGGGGGAGTGCCACGCAACGCGGTGGGCGGAGCTGCAGGACAACGAGCGGTTCCAGCAGTCGATGCTCATCACGTCCTTCCACTGGGGGGTGCACGGATACATGTACGTGCACTTGATATACCAAGCGCCATCCATGCGATCAGCAGCTGATCGTCTCTTTCTTTGCCTCTGCGCATCAGGAGCTATGCGCTTGTGGGCATACTGATCGGCATACTCACTTACCGCTACAAGCTGCCATTTGCGACCAAGACAGCGTTCTACCCGCTGATTGGGGAGTGTGCCTACGGGCCGGTGGGGGATATAGTCGACGTCGCCGCCATCCTCTGCACCGTGAGAGATGAAGACAGTGCAAGAGGCACACACACACACGGACGGTCCTGCGTGTTTGTCAGATATTTGGAGTGTGCACGTCTCTCGGTCTGGGCGTCATGGCTCTGTCTCAAGGCATGCAGCGGTGAGAAGCACCCACTCACTCAGTGAGCCACGGAAGGGATGCGTGTGTGCACCGTCATCCCTTCTCTCTGTGTCGTGCCTGGCGTCCCGTTGTTCATGGATATGCTTGGTTGAATGAATGGCTGATGCGTTGCGTTGGTTACCGTAGCTATGACTGACTGACTGACTGCATGGTCGTCCGCTGCTGCCGTCCCTTCATGCGTTCAGGTACATCCCTGGCTACGTCAACAACCTCACCAACAATTTGATTCTGCTGTGGGTCATCACTCTCCTGGCTCTCGCGTCCGTCGTCTCGGGTATGCAGGAGAGGGAAGAGATAGAGACATAAATGGGGGTGAGTGAGTTGTGGGTTTCCTTTTGTGTGTGTGTGTGTGTGTTTGTGGGTATGTTCAGGGCTCAAGGCCGGCATCAAGTTCCTCTCTGAGCTGTGTTTTGTGCTGGGCAACTTCATCCTTATCGTCGTACTCTTCGCTGACGACACGTGGTATATATGATTGCGGCAGGGGAGGACCATTACGTCATGTGTCATGCGTGTCATGTGTGTCATGTGTGTGCGCACTCATTTTTCCTCCCTCTCTGCTTAGGTACATTCTGAACATCTATGTGCAGAATCTCGGGCTGTATTTCCAGCAGCTCCTGGCCGTCGGCACACACACAGACGCATTCGTACAAGTAAGTAAATCCCAGAGCTCGAATGAAGCTAACTTTCTGATGTTGTCCTGTAACTCGTCAGCTGGGGTTGTCCAGCGACGGTGCTGGCGCCAATCCCACGTGGATGAACGACTGGACTCTGTTCTACTGGGGATGGTGGACGGCATTCGCTCCCTTTGTGGGCCTCTTCATCGCACGGATAAGCAGGGGCCGCACCATCAAGCAAGTCATAGCCGGTGAGGAAGTGAGTGAGTGACGCACACACACAGAGCCCCACCCACATGAGCCCACACCTGAGTGCTTCTCGTTCTTGGCACAGGTGCGATGGCTGCTCCCGTCGTCTACAGCTTCTTCTGGTTCTCCGTCTTTGGCGGGGCGGGCCTGCGGATGGAGAGGGAAGCCGCGCTGCAGGGAATCGACTGTACCACTCCAGTAAGTACGCCATCACACACAAAGGGGAAAGTCCATCGACATCCATCCATCTCGCTCTCTCTGTGCTTCCACCCAGGTGGATGTCTCGTCCCTGGTGCGTCTGAGTTGTCGCAAGACGACCGACATGTGGTATGACGTGCTGGGCCACTACGATGGCCTGGGCTACCTTTTGTGCGTGCTGTCGCTGGTGGCCCTGCTCATCTACTTCCTCACCACCAACGACAGCGGCTCCCTCATCATTGACTCACTCGCAGACAACGGCAACATACACACCACCGTCCTGTGAGCACAGCACATCCACACACACAAACACACACATGTCTGTCTCGTGTGTGTTGGTATTTATTGGCCGCTGCGTGTTTCATTCAGCACTCGAGTGTTCTGGGCGCTTACCGAGGGCGCGACAGCCACTGCCTTGCTGGTGGCCGGCGGCAAGGCAGCTCTGTCGGCGCTCCAGACGGGGGCCATTGTCACCGGCTGCATTTTTACCGTGGTGCTGGGCTACATGTGCGCCTCTCTACTGCGTGTCTGCCGTATCATCAAGGGAGACATCACACTGTACCCATGTAAGTAACCATAAGTGGACGAGAGCACCAGAAAGATGACAGACAAAACGAGTGACTGTCTCTGTGGTGGGTGCGGTTGGTTCTGTGTGTGTGCAGGGCAGCAGTGGCGGACGGGCCTGATGACTCTCTTCCACCGCCCCACTCTGTCGATGGCCCGCCGCTTCCTCATCTACCTGGTCCACCCCCTGACCGCCTTGTCGCCAGTCAGCTTCCAGACCCAGCCCCTGCGCAGCAAAGCCATCCTCGCCCAAACCTTCTTCGCCGCCTGCTTCTACGGCTCCTTCCTCTGTCTCCTCATCGAGTATGGACTCACCCCGTACCACACCAACCTGCACGCCGTCGGCGGGGCCCTCGCACTGTGTGCCGCCATGATCGGCGCTTCCTGGCGGTGTGCCGTGCGGTCACTGCACGGCATCACGGGGGACCTTGTGTCTGACGTGTTTGCGATGGGTCTGTATCCGTGCGTGGCGATGCAGTTGGTGGACCAGATGAGAATGAAGGCCGTGATCAAGGCAGAAGATGATGACGATGGTGAGGGGGCGGGGGGGTGGGAGCATCGGGAATGCGGCAACGAGGACAGGGACAGTGAAGTGGAGAGCGATGCGGTAGAGGGCAGGGGGCACTAGTGGCTGCGACGATAGACACAGACTGACAATATGTGTGCGCTGTGCGTTCCGTGTGTGGGAGGGATGGATGGGTATTTCTGGTGGGTGGTGCTATTTGTCAGAAAGATAGGTGCGTGTCTCTCTGATCTGATTTGTTGTTGATCTGATCTCATTTGTTGGGGCGGGCGGGCAGTGGGAGGGATTCAGTGTACTCACACTCAAACACGCAAAGAGAGAGCGATGTGAGGACACGAACACAGGCATATCTCGGTCGGCTGCGGTGTCTGGTCAGTGTGTGGACGCCATTTCTTCCTGTGTGTGGACTTTCACACTTAGCTGAGCCGTCAATCGCTGTATGGACGCCATTTGCGTCAAATCATTGCAGTCGCACCCACCCACGTCAATCAAGTGCGTCCATCGATAGAGTTTGATAGATGAGCAGGTCTCTCAACCCACATGCATTTGAACAGACAAGCGGCGGTCAAAACACACGCACTAACGCCGCTGGCGCTGCGCCCGCAAGATATACTACAGCTACAAAGGCAGCCATCTGAGACAGAAGTGACCGATACGACATCAGAGCGATCGTATGTCCATGATTTCCTCACCGATTGCATGTGTTCTAGGGTATCAGGGCCCACACCTCCACTTCGGTGGGGCTGAAGTGTGCCACGCCTGCCAGAGTGCCGTAGACGCCGTCAGGTGAGTCGCTGCTCGTCGGGCCCCGAAAACCCCTCGGCAGACGCTCCTTCCTGACCAACATGCACGACGCGCTGGGGGCAACAGTCGTGCCAGGGTTCGCAAAGGCCAACCGCAGGTCTGCCACCTCCCACGCACCAATCCATACAGCTGATGCGCTGTGGTTCGTCACCTCCCGGCCCACCACCCCCACCCCCTGTGCCTTATCTGTTATGGGGGATTTCACAGGGCATGTCATACCCGCCGGTGATGCTGTAGAAGGACACGGGGCGGGGGATGAATGCATGCTGGTTGGGGTCGTCGGGCTCTGCCAGTGGGCCGCCGATGGTGCAGCCAAAGAGGTGGCCGGGACCGCTACGGATGAGTATGAATGGCCGGGCGGCCCCACGGGTCTTGTCGAGGAATGCTGGGTACTTCTGGCCATCCCGTGACGACCTAGAAGAAGAGCACGCATACAGACGCCTTCCTTCCTATGTGTCCGTGCTTTCACTTGTAAAGCAGCTTCATTGATTTGAGGGCCATGAAGCCACCCAGCCACTCCCGAAGATAGCGATATTGGCCGCACAGCGAGGACAAACGCAAGAACTGCACACACAGACCCACGATTGATTCACACACACGTGTGTGCTGTGTCTCGAGGTCGGATGCATGTGTACCTGTTTGCCGGGCTGGCACAGCTGGTCAGCCACCATCATGAGCTTCAAGCCCTTGCTCTGCAGCCAGCATACAGTACACGTATGCATTTTTGGACCCAATGACCGGATAACGCTGCAGGGTGGCGAAGATTCCGCAATGCCTGCTGCTTACCGATGGAATGTATCGGTCGTAGCGAAATGCTATTAGCTCGAGGTTGTAGCGGACCCCAGCCATCACCTGCTCGATGATCTCCTTGACCTCTTTGATCTCGTCATCGAACTCCACTCGCACGTCAATCGACACCTCTTCGACCAAATACCGACGCTGCTCCTGACAGTCACACAGAGCCAACCAGCGATGAGCCAGGCATCATTCGCCCTTCTACGAAGCTATCTCTTACCTGCACTTGCTGTGCGAGTGCCTGGCGGGCAGCAATCTCACGCTCCAGAAGAGAAAGGAGGGGATCCTCCCTCTCAGCAGACATCTGCACACGCGTGTGCACACAGATCTGCACTGTCTGCGAGGTAGCTTGTGGATGGCTCATGTGTTCACCTGTGCCCTTTGCGCCAACGCCGCCGGCAGCTATGCCACGCATCTCCTCAACATGCACAAATATCCAGCCCCCGCCGGTGGCTTGGGCCTTCTCTCTATGTTGGTGAGGGCGGCTCTATAAACTCCGTCCCCTGGTTGACATTCGAATGTAAACGGAAGTCGAAGAGCAGGAATGGCCGCCATTGCCTGTGCATTGCTGGTTCTGTGCGTTGCACATTCGGTGGTGTGCATCACCCCGAAAAAGGCCGACTCGAGCGGCTCTCTTCAGACCCAGCTCGATGAAGGCTATGGACGGCGGGAGCAGCAGCCCGTGGGCGGACTGCGGCAAGGCCAGCACAAGATCCGAGGCGCGGCCGGCACCTTGCAACACAGAAATATCACCCGCAGATCCTTCTTTGCACAACCCATGATCGTGACGGAAAGCCAAGGCGTCTTGTCCCTCCCTGATGCAACCGACCATTCTGAAGGCTTCATCGGTGCCTTTGACCGCCCGCCGCCTCCTCGCGCAGAAGCAGCCGCAGCACTCATCACCCCGCTCAATCGCACCCACGACGGCAGGCATCAAGATGAGGGCCTGACGGCCGTCATCGAACAGGGCGGTGCATCGAGGTCAAGGCAGTTTCGCATGGCGGTTCGGTCGGGAGGCATCTTATCGCCAGGCGATGGGCTTAAAGACGACGGGCAGGGGCACCACGTGCGGTGGGTGCCCAATGCGATGCTACCTAATTCGCCGCCCTTCCTCTTGACGGCAAGGCCGCCGACAGCTGTGCGGCTCCCTTCTCACTTTAGGCCAGCCTTGTACGACCAGTTTGACCGGGATTCCCTGAACCTTAACAAGTTCATGTACCGGCAGCCAGGACAGCTGTGCGGCCGCAACTCGTACTGCGACCCCAGTTACGTCACTCAGGAGAACGGCAAGCTGGTCATCAAGCTGCGCTACCTCGAGACGCCTTTGCCGTACACCAAGTCCAAGTACACGACAAAGGCAGATGGCTCGCGTGTAAAGGTGCAACAGACGTGCTATGCCTGGTTCTCGGGCGGAGGCATCATCACAAGACAACGATACACGTAAGCGAATCGCCAGTCAGTCGGAAAGAGACGACTCTCTGAGGTCCGTCTGTCTGTGTCTCTGGTGTGCTGCAGGTACGGTTACTTCGAGACACGTGTCAAGATGACCAAGACGCCTGGATGGCACGAGGCCTTCTGGACGTCATACTCAGACGGAGGCAACAACCTGCACCCGATGACATACGGAGCCCGGAGCGAGCTCGACGTCTTTGAGCACTTCGGCTCTTTCGGCCCCTCCGAGTTCTACTACGGCGTCTACAGATGGACGGGGGGCGGAGGCGGCGTGCCCCTGAGACTCGAGCGGCTCACCGGCAGCAGATGGCAGCCCGGCCAACAAATCGAACTGACCAAAAAATACCACAAATTCTCCCTCTTGTTCGACAGAGAGCGGGCGGCCTGGTACCTCGACGGCAGCCTCATCCACGAGGTGAGGGCCAAGAAGGACCCAAGTGCGCCGGATGGGCCGTACGAGAAGATCCCCAAGAACCTGTTTCACGTGTGGCTGTCGACCATTACCAACTACCGGACGGAGGGGGACACCACCAGCCCGCCTGACTGTTACTACGGCAGCAAGGAGGGCAAGGTGGTCAGTGGGGAGGGAGACGTGTTCTTCGACTACATCACCATATACACCATTGACTGACTGACGGACTGAGAAAGGATCGGTTGATAGGCTGAGAGAGTGTAAGGAAGGTGGCACGTAGGCAGGTATCTATCTGATAGACAGACATGGGCCCTTCTGTTTTAGTGAGTGTGTGTGTGTGTGTTCGTGGTTGATGTGGCCGCCTCGTGTGTCGTCGAGTGAGTGTGGTTGGTTGATGTTTTTAAATTTGTCAGTCACTTTCTGGGATGATGATGATGAAAGGCGTGCCTATCCCAGCGTGCCCGTGTATGCCGCATGGATGGATGGGACCGAAGTTTTTGAAGGCCATTCCATACATGGCAAGTTGATCCGCAATCCATCCATCCAATGGCATCCATCCATCCATCCAATGGCATCCATCCATCCATCCCGTGCTCACTCACTCAGACAGACATCTGATCTGTGCAACCATGCCCAGCCCAACCATCGTCAACGCACACACAGTTCACACCAACGTATAGCCGCCCAATCACAGCCGTCCGTCCGTCCGTATGTACAACACACAATCGGCACGGAAAAGCACCGCACACACAGCCGCTCTGGGCGGCGTATCCATATCCATGTGTGCGTATGAGCGTTCACACAGTGAGTGACAGAGAGGCAGGCAGGGCGCGTGTGTGGTGTGTGCCGGTAATATAGGTCGGCACCTCTCTGTCCCTGTCTGTCTGTTCTGCCTGCCAATACACTCTGTGTATGCAGTGCTCTCGTGCACTCCACTCCAACCCACCCCGCCACCCAATCTACACACACCAGCACCCGCCGCCCAGCCCCTCAGCACGCCATGGCCATGTCGGTGTCAGCAGTGCTGCCATCAGCTCGCCGTACACTGAAGACACACACACACGTATAGGTATCTTCCGTATGCCCACCATCTGTGTGTGTGTGTGTGTGTGCGTACCTTCTTCAGCCCACTCCTTGTGGCAGAGGACATTCTCCATGACGACCGCCTTGAAGGCCCACGCAAACAGGGTGTTGACATTCTTGGCCAACTCCGCCTTCGCCCCTCTCCCCCGCGCCCCCTCCCCCGTCATGTGTCTCCTGGAGGAGCTGCTCCCGCAGCTGGCCCATCTGCCGCTTGGGTCGGCTCCCATCGGACAGCTCACTTATCCATCCGCTCGTTACCTGCAGCTGCTCATCCACCCCCATAACCGATGCCAGTCCGCCTGCCATCCGACGAAGGGCGGCTCGTGAGGGTCAGTGGCCTGGGTCTGAATGCAGCCAGCGGCCCGCAGAATGGCCTGGCGCTTCGTCTTCCTTTCAGCGTCGCGCTTGGCCTTGTCTTTCTGTGCCTTCTCCGCCGCTTCCATCCTCCTCGCCTCCTCGTTCTTGGCCGCGATGGCCTCGTCACGGGTGGCGTAGGTGGCGACCTTGATCTGGCGGCCTTCGTAGGTCATGGAGTAGACGGAGGGGCGTCGGGCAGCCGCTGCTGGTGCTCGTGCCGGGCGGATGCTGGGGGGGAGGGGGGGATGGCCAGGGCCTGAAAGAACAGCACGACGAGAGAGAGAGAGAGAGAGAGGGAGAGAAAGCATCTCTGCACTGCCTGCCTCTTTTCCTTGGCTGGCTTCCAAGTGAACGCAGCCCACCCACCCGTCGCACTCACCTCTGTGCTGCCATGAGCGATGCTGGTGGGTGTGGTGCGCGGCGTGGGCGGCGGAATGCATCGCCACGCCTTCAGGGGATTGTGCAGCTGAGCTGCTGCCACCTACAGTGCAGTCAAAACAACAAGGGTACGTAGATTCCCCATTGAACGAATGCACATTTGAATCATGCATGCTTCCCCATCCGTCCCACCGCACTTACGTCCTGTGGTGGTGCCGCTGCTGTGCGCTGCCCGCGGGCGCATGTCCTGATGCGTCGCACCCTCCCGGCGCTTGAGCATCATTATCAATGACTCTGCATGCGTCGCTGGCGGTTGCGGCTGCCACACGCCGATCCGACACACTCTCTGCGCGGAAATCGCCTTTTGCAGCCTCCTCAAAATTGCGAGCCTGAGTGTGTAGTTAGTAGCTCGCATCTGAAGAAGGGGGAAGAGATCTGGGAAAATGGCGGCCTTTCATTGTCTGTCCCTTGCTGTAGCAGTGCTGCTGGATCATCTCGTCCTTGGCCGAGCTCAAACGACTCCAACATCTTCGCCCCTCCATCTGCCATCCGATGGACTCATGCCGCGGCCGCAGATGGCCCAGATGAGTATGCCGCAGCTGCCGAACGAGACGACAAAGCTGCCAGATGACCACAATCATCATGAAAACCTTCCATCTTCAAGTCGGCCGCAGAGGGCCCCGCAACACGAGAAGGGACGGCTGAATGTGTTTATTCCATGGGTGGAGGGCGGCAGGCGCCTTCCGCAGATGTTCTTCAGCACGCTCGAGTCGGTCCTGTGGCACCATCCGTCTGCCAGTGTGAGGGTGCTGACGACTGGGAGTGAGGGTGGTCACTTAGATGGTGCATTGGAGGCCTACGTGCGCCATGGGTATTCGGTGGAGTGGCTGGGCGTTGATGCGGTCTGGTGGGATCTGCCCATTGAGGCGATGCGTGTGTTGGCCGCGTGGCTGGAGAGGGGGCAGAGGGACCTGGCCACCGGACTGATGTGCTTCATCATGCAGCTGCGACTCGGGGGTACATGTCAACGACAGGCACACGTGGCTGGTTGGCATGGCTGTCTTTCTGTGCTCGTTGGTGTGTGGCTTGCAGGTGTGTGTCTGCCACCTCATGGTGTGCTTCTGAATGCACTTGACGCCTTCCTCCCCTCCACTCTGTTCGACGGCTCTCTCGGGAGCAACTCCGGCGACGAGAGGTCGGTGACAGTGGTGTTTGAGATAGCTGACAGGCGGCCAGCCGTTTACTCGATCGCCACCGATGGCCTTAAAGCTGCTCACTCACAACGGGTGGGCCAAGCACGGGTCTCAATTCTGCGCAAATGGTGGTGTGTGTGTTTGTGCATTGCAGCCGTTCACGTGTCGGCATGAGAGCACCCGACTGTGTGTGTCGGACTGCCCGTCTTTCATACCTGCCAACTCCACATTCGGCAAACAGGTGTGTTAGTGGAGGGTGGCGGCATGATTAGGCAGGCAACAAACACACACCACATCTGTGTGGTGCGTGGCTCTTGTCGTGTCAGGTGCTGGACCTGATTGTGTCCCACAGCGAGATGGCGTCGACAGTCGTGGACTCTCAGTACATATCATTCTTTGGTAAATAGAACGAACGAACCAACAAGAGAGCGAGAAGCGGTCACAGCTGTTCCATGACCTGTCTTGACCTCTCAGATTTGATCCACACGGTGGCGTACGACGCCTATCTGCAGACGAGGCGACGCACGGGCGACGGCGGCCTCAATGGCGAGCTGGTGGTCGGCATGCCGCCGTCCGTTATCATGGAAGACATATTCCCGGACTTCCATGGCTTCGAGGTCGGTCAGTCACACATCAAAGAATAACCCGAGCAGCCCAAAATGGTGTCCTGGGCCTGTGGGGTGGGTGCAGCGGTCCATGCGGGCCACCTTCTTCAGCCAGTCCTTCCACAGCCAGCTGTACCGTGCCCGCGAGACCTACGAAGCCTCCGACTGGGCCCTCGCCACGACCGCCAAGCTATGGCTGCCCCTCCCCCCTCACCTCACCCGCACCCCAATGCCGCGATCGGTCATCGACCTGGCCCTCACACACTTCCAGCTGGGCCACGCGCCACACCCCTATGGCACCATGAGGGGGCTTGCTGACGGCGAGGGAGACGAAGGGCCGGGCTACCGGCTGGTGACGCACATGCGGCCCTTTCTGCCGTTCTTTCGGTCGCCAGCGTACAAGACGGAGCACTACAGCAGCTGGCTGCCGGGCGTCTTGGGCGGGGCGAGGGACTTCCGTGCTGTGCGCGTCACGCAGAAGGCCTCGGCCCGTGATGAAGAGGGCGGCACTTTCCGAGTACAGGTGAAATGACTGAATCCGAGCCAGACAGATATGTTGCCTGCGTTGCCTTATGTGTGTGTCATGGTGCGTTTGTGTTTGGTCAGATTCGCTCCTGTGTGCCACTTAGAATGGGCTGCCGCGCCTCTCAGTCACCATTTGCCGAGTCGGCCACCAGTGAAGACGGGCCGTCGATGCGAGTGCGAGTGGGGTGGCATGCTGCCGAACAGAAGGAGTGCGAGAGGGGTCTGCAGCAGCCACTTGGTGGTCGAGCTGCCGGCGGTCGCGAGGACATCCTCTCCCGCCCGTCTGTGTGCCCCCATCTAGTCTTCGACCTTGAAGGCACCGAGGCGTCCACCAATGGGGCCATGAGCATGCTATACTTCACACCTGTGGGCCGGCCATCTCCCCCCTCACCGCCGAACAACCAGCCACCCCACTGCATCAACACCACCCTGTCAGGCGACACCGTCAAGCGCGACCCTTGTCCAGTCACCGTCGTCACTGAGGTGCCGGCGCAGCCATCGCTATCTCTCACTGATGTGGCCGATGGCCGCCTGGCGGCCAAGGGCAATGGGACCGTCTTGGCTGGCGACGACGGGCTGCTGCAATGCGAGATCGACTGGACGTGTATGCGTGTGGGCGTCAACCCCGCCATATTTGGGTGGGTCAATGTGACCCTGGCTCTTCTGACGCGAGGAAAGGGAGGGAAGGCGCCTGTGGTGTGGCGAGGGATGAGCCGTGTGCTGCTGGTGGATGTCGAGGACGTTGTGACGGTGGTGGCGCACTCAGGAGGTCGCTGCTGGATACTCGACAGGTACTGTACGTGCGTCGGATTGCGTGTCTCTTGTGTTCGTTCGTTCATTCGTTCATGTCACCCTGTGGTCTGTGTGTGCAGGATGGCTCGATCCATCCGTCTGCTGTATCCTCGTATGCCGATTGTGGTCACTTGTGAGAGAGAAGGAGACCTGCAGCAGGCCCAGGCAGATGATGGTCCTGAAGGTGGTCTGATAACGAAGTCGGCCCACAGCAGCATCCCCAACATGACGGTGCTGTCGGTGCCCTTCGACTACGGCCTCGCCCGCGCCAAGAACCTGCTGGTCAGCCTCATCACCACCGAGTTCACCCTGGTGCTCGACGACGACTTCGTGACGTCGCCCCACACGTGTGTCGAGTGCATGCTTGAAAAGATGACCAACCAGCTGCACCTGGGGCACCCATTCGACATCGTACGCCCCGCCGCCTCATCGCCCTGCAAACAAACCGACACTGCACAAGACAGACAGCACCTCATGCAGTCAGCTGGGCGTCTGTGTGCTTCTGTCTGTGTGCTGTGTGTGTGCAGGTTGGCTTCCCCATTCGCGAGGACGAGGAGGATTTCGGTGCGTTCCGCGGCCTGCTCAAGGTTGGCCAGGGCGCCGTGTACATGGAGGCCGGTGCCTGGGCGTCGTACGCGGACGGCTGCCAACGAGTTGACCTGGTGCCAATGGTGTTCCTCGCGCGCACGCTGCGGCTCCGTGAGGTGCCGCTGCAGGAGGACCTCAAGCTTGGGGAACATGAGAAATTCTTCTACATGGCCAAGCGCAAGGGCCTGCAGGTGGGGAATAGAATGTAGCCACTGTCGAATGCGACAGCGTGTTAGTCGATCTGTGTCTTTGTGTGTGTGTGTGCGTATTGGTGTTGGCGGATGGTGTTCAGGTTGGTGTGTGTTTCGACTCTTCCTTGACGCACCTTCGCCTCAGTCCCGATGAGATGACTACACGCTACGCCAACAGGAGGGAACGATCCGGAAAGTACATGAGGTCAGTCTGAGTGACACACAATGGCCAGCCAGCCATAATGCGACGCCCTTACCCTCACTCAATGGACGTGATGTGCTCCCCTCCCCTCCCCAGGGAGGCCTTGACGGAGTTCTCCGTCACCCGTCTAGCCCACTTCATGCGGCAGTACGCCCCCTCGTCCTCGCCAATGGACCACGCCATGCTCATATCCGACGCCATCCCACCATGGACCGTCGGCAACCACAACCACCACTGCCAACAAACGGCCTTCTTACTGCCGCCGCCACACGGCTTCTCCCTGCTGCTGCTCGTCATCGTCATGACAACACCAGACAGGCGCGGGCGTGACGCCAGGGATGCGCTGAGGCGGCGAGGCTCGTGGCTGCGGGCCCTTAGTGGTGTGCCGGACAACGGCATTTCTGCGTACTTTGCGATGCCGGCGCCAGCTTCAGGCAACCATTGTGCTGACGGCCTGTCTGAGGGTTGGCGTGAGGTGGTTGGTGAGTATGAGGAGCATGGTGATATGGTGTGGGTGACACTGCCGCCGACGATGGCCGAGCCCTTGTCGCATCTGGACAGGGTGCCTCCCGGAGAGATGAGGCGGGCGAACATGGCTTCACAAGACGACCCAGACCAGTACAAGCTGTTCCTGAACGAGCCAATGATGAGGGGCCCACTGCATGGCCATGGCGTGGCGGCCAACTGCACTGGCTGCACCAACGAGAAGACACCCTGGACGTCTCAGCTTTATCTCTCTGTTTTGGAGAGTTTCCGGGCGATGGACAGCAACTGGGTGATGGTGGTGCGGGACGACGTGTTTGTGGATCTGAAGCTCTTCACCGACCTGATGGGCGACAAGGCCATGCCCTACTGGACAGTCGTCGCACCCCCTGCCGACAAAGGCGCCCCGGCGCCTCGTGGTGCTCGAACAGCTGTGTTGAAGCCCGTTGGGTTGAGGATTGATGTGTCGATGGTGCTCTATCGGCGAGAGCTGTATCTGCTGCTGACGAGCCGGCCGTTGGTGGACTCGTTGAGGCATGATGATGGCGGCAGTTTGGAGGGCTCGGTCAATCGGTGGCTGGACGCGCTGAATGTGTACTGGACGCCGCTGCCGTCGTTCCATGTCGGCCGACCGACAGATGGATGATATGTATATGCATGTCAGTCAGTCATGTGATGTGGACAGCTGTGTGTGCATACTTACTGGGTAGGTGGGTTGTGCATAGGTAAAAGATCTGATAGACTTCAGATTGGTTCATGCCATGGTTTCAGTCAGTCGACTGCTGTCTGTCGTCCTCTCACATCCATCCATGTCTGTCTGCTTCCCTCCCTCCCTCCCTGGCTGACATGCCATGCACCCAGAACAACACGCAACGCACACTGCCACACACATGGATGGAAACACAGCTGGAGAGACACGCACCCCACACTAGCTACCCCACACTAGCTACGTGTCGGTTCGCTCAGCCACTGCCGGCCAAGGGCAGGACCAAGAAAGCCAGCCAAGAGCGAGGAGGGGCGCAGGAGGGCGGAAACGAGACAGGCACGAAAGACAGACAGACGGCAAACAGTTGAGGGCGTCGGTCAGTGTGGTGTACCAGGCAGGCTAGGCGGCCGTCGTGGGCTGTTTGTCTGTGTGTGCGCTTGTGGGGTGTCGCTGTGCCGCTGCAAGAGGGGCTTACACGTGTGTGGTGGACGGCCATCGTTGCCTGCATTATATATATATTTCGTGGGCCGTTTTGCAGTTGTCTGTCGTGTCTCGACCTCTTGTCTTGATCCACGTGGATCATGCGATCCATCTTTCCGTATATAGAATCAGAACGGTCTTCCTTCAAGCAGTGCCACCCATTCATGCACCTATGTATGTACACGACTCGCACACCAGCCAGCCAGGCAGCATGAAGGCCCCCGATCGATCTTCTAGCTCTTCTTGTGCTGGGCCTTCCGCCTGGCCTGCGCGTCGGCGATTTTTGCCTGCAGGCTTTTCTGCGCCTCACGCCGCCGCCAATCGTTCTTGCCGAACGACTCGTTCACGCACCCACCGCCCCTCGACTCGGCCGTCTGCTCCTTCCTGCAGACACAATGGACACGCACACACACACACACACACAGTGTGGGTGTGGGTCGGTACATGTGAGTGCTCACTAGACATACCTGAATGATTGTTTGGCCTGCCGGGATGCCTCATCGCCGCAGCCATGGGCCTCAGCGATTGCGTGTGAGATGCAGAAACGACGGCGGCAATACGAGCAGGTCTGCAGCAAAGAAAGAGACAGAAAGGCAGCTGTCCGTGAGGTGGGTCACTGCGCTGTGGTGTGGTCAAGACCGACCGTGCCGATGAGTTTTGTGGACTGGCTGCATGACGGCAGCGCGCAGATCCAGTCCTGCCGGCTCGACGCCGCCAACATCTCATCAAGCGCTGCACGAACGACACACAAACATAGGCGCACAGACACTGGTCGCTTCGTCTTGCCCCACCTCACCTTCATCGGACACCTTGTTGTCGGCGTTTGTCGGCCGTTCATCAGCGGGTGTCTTCTTCTTGTTCTTGCGCTGCTGCCGCCGCCTCGATGACAACGAGCCGGCCGTTGGACCTGGACCACCACTGGCGACATCTGGTATGTGACTCACTTCCTCGTCAGCTGCATCTTCTGCGGCAGCAGGCGATGACGCTGTCGATGGTGGGCCGTCGGTAGCTGGAGCCGGCGGCTCGGTCGGTGGCTGAGCTGGTGCCGCTGATGGCTGTGGTGTTGATGGCCTGTCACGGGACATGACACAGATGAAACGGTCGTCGCCTTCACCCTGATGACACACACAGGCAGACAGGTGGATGAGTGCATGTGCCAACGTTGTTTGCAGTGGTGCTGCCACCGACCTTGGACTCGTGACGGAGGCCAAGCGATTCCGCCAACCTGATGGTAGCCGCGGCAGTGACCTGGTGTGTCTGGTCTGGGTGTGTATGTGTGTGGTTCATTTCCTCACTCGTGCACGAGTCGACGCTGATACGACGACAAGGACGCAGGAAAGGAATACTCGCCCTTCCTGAACCGAACCGAACCAACACAACGACACGGATGAGATGAGCTATCGGCGCGTGCTGTGCCCTCCCTCCCTCCCTCCCTCCCTTTTGTTGATAAATTTCCCACTGACCGGCGCTTGACGTCCTCGAGGATGCGACGAAGCCGCGCCTCCTCCGCATTCACCTCACCTGCACAAATCAAATCCGACCAAACATACCTGACTTGACTTAGATAGAACCGACCCACCACCCACGACACGGTCGTACCATTCTCTTCATCCCTCGGTTCTGGTGGGCCCACAGCCGCGGCCGGCTTCTCGGGTGCCTTGCCAGCTGGCGGCTGGGCCGGTGGCACCGGCCGCCTTCTTGCCTCGGGCGGCCTGTCGCTGCGAGATGGCTGAGAGGCGGACGTCTGTGCGGCTCTCTTGGGCGGCGCAGACGGGCCCGCCGCAGCCTGCTGTGGGATATCCTCTTCGTTGACGAACTCACAGGCGTAGCGGACCTTGACGGGAGAGAGACGGTATATAAGTGAAAGAGAATGGATTGTTTGCGGGTCAGTCAGGCGGCGTAGGCCGCCTCGCTCAGCTCACCAGCCCGTTGTTCTGTGCGAAGGTGTAGAGTGAGAAGAGGATGGGGTCGCCCTCGAGGGTGGCAGAGTCGCCAACAATCACCAACTGCCTGTAGACAGACAGACAGACAGACAGACAGACAGCCAGCAACACAGCGTCAAGTGTGCCATCCGTCCAGACATCGGTGTGTCCGCTGTGGTTATGTTATCCACCGCTTTGCACGGGTGACGGCGACATTGAGCCGCCGATGGTCCGAAAGAAACCCTGCACAGGCGACAGGCAGACCATGGCAATGACATCCTGACTTCTCGACGGGGCCATACGTGTGTGTGGGTCACGTCACCTACCGACAGCCTTGTGTATGTTGGACCGGACGAGGGAGATGATGACCACCTCCTCCTCGCGACCCTTATGGATACACACCACACGCACCGCAGGGAGAGAAAGGCATATCAACACCACGCACATCACATCGACAGACAGTGTAGTAGTGTACCTGGAACGAGTCGACGGTGGCGATGGGGATACCACTGAGGCTCTCATTCTGCAAACACGAGCAGCAATATCATGTGCACGTCTTCCCATCTCGCCCCCTCCCCCCGCCCCGCACCTCAGCGGCCATGCTCCTGAGCAGCTCCACCTGCCGATTGTAGGGCGTGATGATGTTGATCTTGCCGGCGTCGAGCCCCTGCTCGACCACCAGGTGTGTGGCGTACCGCATCACCACCTCAGCCTCGCCCCGGTTGCTCCGCGACGAGCGGTCCCTCCCACCGCTGGTGGCCGTGTGGTCGTCCTCCCGCATGTATGGCAGGCCGCCGGCGTCGATCCACACCATCGGGCTAACGGCATCCTCGTCGACCTGGGACACAGATGGATGGATGGCATAGTGTGTGTGGGTGTGGGTGGGTGGGGGGTGACGTACGTGTGGGATGAGGTCTTGTATGGTGTGGTGCTCGACAGACTGGTCCGCCTTGAGCTTGCCGTCGTAGAAGGTCTCAGACGACCACTCCATTATCACGTGACTCATCCTGCACACATCCACACATCCACACATCCACACATCCATGGGGTGGGGCATGGCGTGTGCCGTGGCCGATTAAATGCATGCTGCACTGCACCATGCATCTCTCGTGTTAACTTACCTGTATTGAACGTCCAGTAGGGACGACACCTGGTCGCCCCACATGCGCTGCAGCCGCTGGAAGAGCGTGACGTCCAGCCCAGATCGCTGGGCCTCCTTGCTCTTGATCGTCGGGGCAAGCTGCTTGTGGTCGCCTGACACACACACGCACACGTCACGAATGACATCAATCCATCATGACAGGGATGGATTGACACATCCGACCTCCCTCCCTCCCTCCCATGCTCACCGGCGAGTATGGCCTTCCGTCCCAGCAGCAGGGGGATCCAGCAGCCCACCTCCAGTGCCTGCGCGGCTTCGTCGATGCAGACGACATCGAAGGGCCTCGGGCCGCCATCCTCCCTGGAGGTGGCGAACTTGCGCAAGGCAAAATCGTCGGCGCCGGTGCAAGTGGCGAAGACAACTGACACACGGACAGACACAGACACACAGAGATGAATAAAGAGGGACAGCACAGCATCAGCACCCCTCCCCTTCCCTCTCTCGTGCCGCCCACCTTGCGATTTGCCGAGCACCTCCGACACGGCCCGTCTTTCCCGCTGCCGCAGCTCTTTGCGCAGCTCCTTGAGCTCGCCGTACAGGCGCCTCCTCTCCTCCCTCCCGCCCGCCTTGCCCCTGTTCAGCTGCCGCAGATGGCCGTCCATCTCCTTCCTGATGTCGCTACAGAGCTCGGCCGCCTCGCTGGCCCGCACCAGGCTGTCGAGGCAGTAGGGGAGGAGGGTGGCCTGGATGCGGGAGGGGTGGCCCAGACGGACCACAAGCTTCAGACCGATACTGATGCAACGCTCTGAGTGAGTGACAGGAGGAAGGAGGGGAGATAATGGGTGGGGGGTCTGGTGCGGTGTGGTGATGCATACCAACAGGCACACGCACCTAGGAGGTTGTCAACGGCGACGTTTGATGGCGCGCAGACGAGCACTCGCCGGTTGCGGACCACCAGCTGACGAATCACCTCCACCATGGTGGTCCTGACAAGACAAGCAGAGAAGAAACACAGACATCCAATTCGTCTGTCAGTCAGTCGGCTCTTGTGTCCTACCCTCTGCTTGCTTACGTCTTGCCCGTGCCCGGCGGCCCGTGGATGCAGGCCACATCGACGGCGCGAATGGCATGGACGACCGCCCTCCGCTGGGAGTCGTTGAGCTGCACCTTGAAGGGCGTCCCGTCACACGTGGAGATGGATCCATCGCAACAATCATCGTCAGCTGGCCCATCCTGCCTCTCCGCGCTTGGCCGTGACGGCCGCTTGTTGAATCGCGGAGGAGTGGTGCCGAAACAAACGTCCAGAAGGGCAGACGCTGGGCCGTCTCTGAGCGCACTCAAACACACAGCACAGCACAAGTGTGACAACCAAGAGAATGCCTTGATTGATAAGTAAGGCCAGTAAGTATGCCTTGCCCACATGCACACCCCACGTACCGGTATGACGTCAGCGCGTTGAGTGCCGCCCGGTATCTCCTCAGCGTCACATCGCTGGCCCAGAGCGCCAGATGCACCGGCGGCACAAGCGCTTGCACGTCGCAATCTGTGTCGTCGTCGAACACCACCGATATGCCGGTGCTCTTGACGCGATGCACCACCCCCGTCAAGGCCGGCTGCGACGACAGCGGATGCTGGGAGTCGAAGAGGCCGACGATGTCGCCCGACGAGAGGCGGTGAGAGGGCAGGGCGGGGGGCGGCTGCTGGAATGAGTGCTTCTGGAAGGTGGCGACGGTGCGGCCGTAAAGTCCGGTCGTCACATCAGCTGCTTCCACCTGCAGCAAGCCAATCCGCCAGACACAGACACAAGGCGATGAGTGGATAAGAGAGAGGTCAGATCTGCATTTTGTCCGACTGCCTCGGATCTGGAGCGCACCTTGAGTATGGCGATGCCTGCCTCCTCCAGCTCAGTTGGCGTGCACTCCGCCAGCAGTGCGGTGGTCTCCTCGACCTCTGCCGCATGCTCTAAGGACAGCAGCTCACTGGTCTTCTCGACGAACGCCTCACGAGATTCAACCAAATTGGATCCACTTACTGCAGACGCAGTGCTCGTCATGCTGCACGAGCAGTTTCACGCAATCCTGCATGTGCGAGCCCTTCTGCTTCAAGCTCGCACTCGTGAGCGACGTGAGATTAGCCGGATTGTTGGTTTGTGGAGCTCACAGCATCGTGAGCAAGTTTGCCTCTGCTAAGCCGGCTAGCGGCCACGCTGATTGGCGACGGTCCAAGCCTGAGGTCCACCCACCTGAGGTCCAAGAGGGCAGCTCATTCAGCAGTGTCAGCACGCCGCCATCCCTTACCCACTCAGTCAGTGGAGCTCGTCCCTGCAGCCCCGCTGACTGCGCCTTCCACGGTCTGTCGTCGTTTTGTCGGCACCCAGCCACCGCAGCGGAGCCAACCTGAGCGCTCACCTGAAGCGAGTGCTGGGGTCGCTGCGCTCGCATCCCTACGGCCGCCCGCCCCACAGCAGCCCCGCCCACCTCCCCGAGACGGGCAGTGAGCCCTCCAGCGGCCAGCCTGCCGGTGCCGGTGGCAACATGGTCTCGGCAGGCGACTTCGTGCCCACGGCGTCGCGGGACAAGACGGCGGCTGCTGGGAGTAGTGGGTCTGACCGGCAGGGGAACACCCGTAAGGACACGGTGAGCAAGACGTTGGAGCTGTTGGAGTGTTCGGTGTGCTGCGAGTCGATGATCCCGCCCATCTACCAGTGTAAGGAGGGCCACACCATCTGCCAGGACTGCCGCCTTCGGGTCAAGCAGTGCCCGGTCTGCCGGAGCGAGACGCTAGACATCCGCTGCAGGGCACTCGAGAGGCTCGCCGAATCGCTAGATGAGGTACGGCGGTACGGTGGTGCCGAGAACGGCACAGCACACACACACACACACACACATGCATTCCCTTCACGGCCGGTGTGTGTGTGTGAATTGGTGTGTTGATGTGTGTGTGTGTGTGTGTGTGTCATCAGATCAATTGCAAGTACTCGTGTTACGGTTGCCGCGTGACGGTCAAGTATGCGACGAAGAAGGACCACGAGCAGAAGTGCGCCTTCCGCCCCTTCCCCTGCCTGCACGTCTGCCAGGGCTGCTCCTTCGAGGGCAGCTCCAACGAGCTCGTGCGGCACCTGGTCGAGGAACACGGCTACACCCAGCACGAGACCCATCGCATCAGCTTCATTTGCAGCAAAGCCAACGTCACCGTCCACCCGGGCAGCGCTGGTACAGTGAGTGGACACAAGTGGGGCGGATACCAGGGCAGGGATGGATCAGAGTGTGTGTTGTGTTGTGTTGTGTATTTGCGGTGTGTTTAGGTGAGGAGGCGGAGCACTACGTGTGGCAGAAGAGCATCTACTCGTGCTACGACAAGCACTTCGTGCTGCGCATCCACCGCAAGGTCGACGTCGACCCCCAATTCTACATCAGCGTCGCCGTACTCCACTCCAGACACCACTCCAACCGATACTCCATCGCCACCTCGGGCAACCACCGCAAATACACATTCGAAGGTCAGTCAGGTCGCTAGTGGTGGACCCACCCCCACACACACACACACGCGTGGATTGTGTAATGTGTGTGTGGTTGTGTTGTTTCTGTCTGTGTGTGTGTGTGTCAGGCCCGGTGTGGTCGATTCGCAAGGGTTTCAAGGAGATCGAGCGTGTGCGCGACTGCCTGATCCTGCCTGAGAACATCGCCCTGTTCCTGTCGGGCGGCAAGGGCTCCGAGAACGACCTCGGCATCATCAACCTCAACGTCACGGGAGAGATACTCCCACAGTGACTGACACGCCGACAGACAGACCCACCGACAGACCCCCACCACCACCTAGCACAGCGAGGGAGGAGGAGGGCGGGGCCGAGTTGGTGTGGTGTAGCATAATAGATAGCGGTTGCTTTTCGTTTGTCGTCTATTCCTCGGTCAGTCCTGCCTGCCTACTGCCTGCCTGCCTCCCTGGATGTCTGCCTGGTGTGTCCACAAAGGCCATCGTGGCTGCAGAAAGACCTGCTGGTACACCTTCCAAGCAGGTCTTGCTCCAGCTGCAATGACCTTCGTGAACGCTTCAGGGCTTCCTTGTGCGTGGGCAGATGATATGGCGTGGCGGGCGGGGGCGGCGGGCGGGCTAGATGGCTGACAGTGTGTGTATGATGCATCCACACCCGGGCAGCCACATGACCAATTGATTTTTGCCCCCCGCTGGCCGCACTCACCCATGTGTGTGCTTTGCACCCCACTGATCGAAACACCCCTACCCTGTCCACCAACACCCACCCCTCCCTCCTACTCTCTCCCTCTCCCTCTCCCTGGCTGACAGACAGACATGCAGGCAGCCTGGCAGGCAGGCGTGTCTTTTGTTTCTTTTGAGATGCGGCACCCCACTCATTTGCCGTTGTGTGCGTGAGAATGAATCAATGAATGACGGATGGCTGACATTTTTTCGGCACCTCATTTTCTTTTCTGCATCCCTTGACTGCCTGTCTGTCTGATTCCCTGCCTGGCTGGCTGTGTGGCTGGATGTGTGGATGTATCATGCCGACTTAACTAACTTAATCAGTCAGTGGCCGCAACCCACCACATTCGGCTCGTGCTGTGCACCCACAGCCGGGCAGGCTGCAGCCATTGGTTTGCCCCCGTGGGTGCGCGGCTGGGGCGTTGTGTGGTGTGTTGCGGTGGTGGTGTGTAAGTGTGTGAGAGGAGAGAGAGGGTGGCGGTGGCGGTGGCTGACTGTGCAGACGATGTGTGGATGTTTGTATGCGTACATCAGAGAGTGGTCTGTTGTGCGTGGCGGGGGGGTCTGCTACATCTTATCGGTCAACAGATCGACTGAATCAACGTGAAGGATGTTTCAGTCATTTTCTTACACACACACACACACACACACAACGCCCACCAAGCCAGCTCAGTCAGCTTCCCTTCCTCGGCCTGGCTGGCAACGCGAGAGGCCTCCGGGCATACCACTGTCGACACACCGGGCAGCGGTGCTGCTCAAAGACGTGAAACGACTCAAAGTTGAGCAGACACGTCTTGTGAAACACGTGGCTGCAGCTCAGCAGCAGCACCGCCTTGCCCCGGTGGTACTCCTGGAAGCAGATGGAGCACTCCTCCTCGTCCCTCTCCAATGCCCTGCGCTTGGCACTCGCCCACTCCTCCGCTGTCACGTCTAGACGAAATGGCGGCAGTGGCTGCTGCTGCTGTTCTGCTGGTGGTGGTGGGCCTGCCGGTGCTGCCGCTGCTGTGTTCGGTGGTGCGGCGGCTCTCTGTGGCGATTGGCGGCGATGGGTGACGGGCAGAGAGGGGACGAGGGAGAGCTGGGGATACAGAGTGGAGAACCGCTGCAGGTCCTCACGCAGTATCTGAACAGACAAACAGCCACCCACCCACACAATCAGAGACGTGATCTGATCTGATCGGTCTGGATGCAATGCATCATTCATGTCAGCTCACCCTGGAGCTCTCCTGCACGGACTGGTCGATGTCTGAGAGGAACTTGTCGAGTGCGTCCTGCCGCTCATCGCACCGCCTCAGCACCTGACGGCTGAGGCCTGCCAGCGCCCTCCCGTAGCACTTGCGCTCGAACGAGCTCAGCTCATCACCACAGCCAGACGGATCGCTCGACGTCAGAAATGTGCTGCTGGTGAGCTCATCGCGAACGCGACCACGGAAGCGCTGACGGACCTCCTGAGATAGAGAGAGCCAAAAAAAAAGGGTTTCATCGGTCTGTCTGTCCGGCCGTGTGTGTGTGTGTGCTAAGCCAACCGACCTGTGTGGTTTGTCGTCGGATGCAATGCCCCCTCCAGGCCTTCTGTATCCTCGTCGCGCACTTGTGTCGCCACACGAGGAAGCCACCATGGTGCGGCCGACGCTGGTACGACGCTCGCCGGCAGATGGGGCAGCAGCGGGTCTGTGCAAAGCGCTCAAAGCTCGCCAGACACCGCTTGTGGAAAACATGGGAGCAACTGAGGATCACCTGAGGGCTGCATTAATGGACATATGGACACCCACAGGCACACAGGTCAAAGGCAGAAATTGATGGCATGGCACCGTGATCGATCGCCTTGGTCTCATCTGCTGCATCGCATCCATCGCTGACTGACCTGTCTGCAAATTCCTCCAGGCAGATGGCGCACGGCTTGTGGCTCTCCTGTCTGGCCTCTGAAGTCTCCCTCACGGCCTCCCACTGCGAGTCCGTCAGGGGCGGGGGTGGCGCAGGCACCAGCTGCAGCCTCTCTGCCAGCGACAGGCTTTTCTCATAAACCCGAAAGTCCCTCTTAGTCGCGTCGGACACCACATCTGTCACACCCTTATCAGTATCGGCTGACGGCCGGCATCCCGACAGGCACGCGGAGGCCGCCGATGAGAGAGAGGAAGAGGGTTTGCGTCTGTGTCTGTGCTGATGCTGCAGGGACGCTCCCCTCTCTGTGGTGGGCGGTTGCCGTGGCCTGGAGTGTGCCTGCAGCGGTCGTGAGAGGGCGGCTACTGCTGCTGGCTTGCTGAGGGACTTCATCAGGTGGTCTTGGAACGCCGCCGCCCAACAGCCGCTGCTCGACGACGATGGCATGCCGGACGGATGACTTGATGATGCCTTTCTCGTCTTCATGGGCGGGGCGGGGTTGTCACTGCAGACAGCACCAGGTGGCACGTGTTGCGACTCCCATAATAAAATCGCCGTCACACAGCTCAGCTGGCTGCACCGTCAATTCAATAGCGTGGTCTCCCTTCGGCCCTTTCTCGTGTGCAGACGTCTGCCAGAGTCTTCCATGCCTCCTGGACGACATCGTGCGGATTCATGTTCCTCTTGATGGCCTCTTGCGTTGCCATGTGCGGCCGACTGAGCCGCAAACACGCCTGCTGAAGGGCGGCCACGCTCGCCGAGTCGACATTCTTGACGACTTGAGGCTCGTTGCTCGCTGTGCCGCGGTGGTGTGTCGGTCGAGGCGGCGAAGGCGAATCGGACGATGCACTCGCCATTTCCGTCGTCTTCACTCCTCGCAACTGCGAGCTCAGCTCTAAGGCGAGCTAAGATAGCAGACGTGAAGGAGATGAGTGAGATGTCGAGTCAGATCAGTACAGTCTGCTTGTCTTGTTCTGTGGGCGAGCCGAAAGTTTGAGTCAACTTGACTTGAAGATGGCGGCGATGAGAAAGCAGGGCGGACCGGGTGCGTGGACGGCGGAGGGCGAGCAGTCGCCCTTCCTGCCCTTCCAGGAGCTGCACGTACGCACTCACAGACAGACAGGGAGGGGACAAACAGACGATCCAGCAAGAGAGACCAGTCAGTCACCTTTGTTCTCTGTCTGTCTGTTCTCGTTCTGCTCTCGGTGTGTGTGTGTGTCCGCCTGTCTGTCTGCTTGGCTGTCTGGGTGTGTATGGGTCTGCAGCAATTCGACGCCATCCAGAAGGAGATAGAGGAGGACAGGAGGCGCACAGAGTGAGCAGTCCAGCAGCACACCAACGAGAACAGACAGACGTGCAGACCACTGATGACCTTCCTTCCCTCTGTCTGTCGTGTCTGTCTGTCTGTCTGTCTGTCTGTCTGTGTGTCCCCCAGAGTTGACTGGGGCGATGCCATCTGCAACCAGCTGCGCATCACGGGCCACAACCACCGCGCCTCCCTCCCCCAGCCGGCCGCCCGAGCTCCCCGTGTCGACACGTCGCCCGACGGGCATCCCTGTGAGCGGCAGGAGCCGTCGCCGGCTGACTCTGACCATGAGCCCGAGTCGCCCGCCAAGAGCGTCATCCGCATCTACAGGCACACCGATGACGGTGGTGCCGATGGTCACTACCTCGAGTCAGGATGGATGGCACACACACATCGGCCGATGCGATGCGGGGATGGAGAAGGAAGGCCATTTATTTGTTGTTGTGTTTGTTGGATATGATTGTTTGCTGCAGGATGGACCACTTGCCGCGTGTGCAGACGGGCAACATTTACTGTGCCTTTAAGCAGCAGCCACAGCGGGTGCTCATCGTCAAGCGCATCAACTCACCAAACGTCACCAAAGTGGCCGTCGAACTCGCAATGTGAGTCAAGCAGCACAGGGGGGGAGGGGGTGGACGAATCGTTGATGGGATGGCGGATGTGTGTGTGTATGTATGCGCGGCCTCTCTTCGTCAGGTTTTTGTCGGAGGAGCTCGGCCTGCAGGTGATCGTCGAGCCCACCGCCTCGGACGAGTTCGTCTCAGCGGTACGCACACCCACAAAACGGCAAAGCACAGCAGAGCCCACCCATAGCACTCCCCCATGTGTGTGCGTGTGTGTCAGGGTGCGATGATGGTCAAGACGTGGCATGAGGAGGAGGGTCCTCCCGAGGAGCTCGGGGGGCACATCGACTTTGTCGTCGCACTGGGGGGCGACGGCACCATGCTCTGGGCATCACATCTAATGACCAATGTCGTGCCGCCCGTCGTCGGATTCTCTATGGTACTCACGGCCAGGCCCCACATGGATGTGCTGTGCGTGTGATGCATGACAGACGCTGTGTGTGTGTGTTTGGTGTGGTGTGGTGTGGTGCAGGGATCGTTGGGTTACTTGACTCAGTTTGAAGTGTCTGAGATGAAGGTGGTGTTGCGGCGGATGGTCCACTTCGGCTTCTCCATTTGCCTCAGATGCAGACTCAGTGAGTGAGCCAGCGACCGAGACGAGACGGGAGGGAGGGACGATATGGAACCACCAGAAGCATGGCGACATACATAATGCACTCACTGTGTGGTGTGGTGTGCACTGCAGAGGTGATGCTGGTTGACTCGCATGACGTGATAAAGCACGAGTCCAACGCCATCAATGACTGCGTTGTCGATAGAGGTAGCTGCGTCGGATCAAGCAGTCCAGCCATAAGGAAGGAGCTTATGGAGTGTCGGCTCGTGTGTGTGTGTGATGCAGGTCCTGGTTCTTTCTTGACCAACCTTGATGTGTTCTACAATGAAGAGTTCTTCACCACTGTCGCCGCCGATGGGTACGTGCCAAGCCAGCCAGCCAGCCAGGCAGGCAGGATGGAAAGACGTTGCGATGTGTGTGGTATTGGATGGATGGCCAGTTTGATCATCGCGACTCCCACCGGCTCGACAGCTTACAGCATGTCAGCAGGAGGGTCCATGGTGCATCCCCAGGTGCCCTGCATGCTCTTCACCCCAATCTGCCCCCACTCTCTCTCCTTCCGACCCCTGGTGCTGCCCGACTCGGGCGTACTCCGCATCAAGGTCCCCGACGACAGCCGCGCAGCCGCATGGGTAAGCCAACCAACGTCACAAGACGACGCGACACAACGCTCAGCACACAGTGCGTGTCTGTCGGTCGGTCGGTCGGTCGGTCTCTCCTTCGTGAGTGTAGGTGGCGGTTGACGGGCGATCCCGCATGGAGATTCAGAAGGGTGAGTCAGTCATCATCACCATGTCGGCCTTCCCCTACCCCATGGTCCTCCGCGACGACGTCCAGCGCGACCACTGGATCGAGTCGCTCAAGAAGGGCCTCAACTGGAACCAGCGAATACGCCAGCAGGCCTTTCCCATCGACGGGCCAGCGTCCGCCACCACACACACGCCCACCCCATCACTCGGCCCCGAGCACAAGAATCTCCACATACAGAAGGGCGGCAGAGGCGAGGCAGGCCGCCCACACCGGAGCAACCCCTCCCACAGCCCGCGATCGTCACCTCCGCAGTCGCCCACACAGGCTGCCGACGCGGCTATCGGCAGCGGTGGGCCCAACGCTGAGTCGACCGCACCGCTCGTCGACGGCTCACCGAAGCAGCTGCGGCCGTGCATCGACCGGAAGCACTCGAGAAGCCGCACCACCACCACCCTCCCCCAGACCCACCACAGCGTCTTCTTCCCCTGCACGTCGGTCAAGGGCCGAGGGATGAGCGAGGAGACGATCCCTCCCAGGTCGCTGAGTGCGATCGACGGCATCAAGCCCCCGCCATGTGACGCTTGGCATCACACCGAGCGGCCGTCTGACGAGGGCAGCACCGGTGCTGCTGTCCTCAACGGCAGCGTGCGTGGAGGAGGGGAGCACAAGGCTGCTGGAGGGGACGACCAGAGCCGTCTGGTTCCCCCCGAGCTCACCGCTGTACAAAGCGCCCCGTGCACCCCCAACATAGCCTTCACCGACTCCCCGGTCATCTCAGCCCTTCAGCGATCTGACATCAAGCCAGACGCCCAGCCATCTGGAGACAAGATGCCCCCTCTGAATCTGGACGCCTCCCTGTGTCAGTTCGCCCCTCCCGGCCCACTGCCGAGTGTCCGTGAGGTGTCGGCGTCAAAGGAATGTCCCAGCAACGGTCGGAGCGACAAGGGCGGCAGCGAGGGGTCAACAGCCACGGGTGGCGCGACGGACGCCTGCCTGTCCCCGCCCCAGTCGGTTGAGGAGGGTACACCCATGGCCTCCCCTATGGACAAGAAGACCGTCGACAGGTCGATGCGGCCGCCATATGGAAAGAGTCCGAGCAAGGGAAGTCCGCTCAGCAGCGGGGAGGGCAGGGCGGCGCGGTTCGGGTCGATCGAGGAGAGAAACGAAGAGAGCCTCAGCCACCTTACCAACATCGAGGTACACAGACACTGCACAAGACAAAAGAGATTTCACGTGTCACTCATACATTGTATGTGTTGGGTGTGCCTGTTGTGTGTCCAGGTAGCTCGTAGCCCGCCCAAGCACCGCGGCAGCATCGCCGGACTCACGCTGCCTTCCGCCGTCTCCCAGGGGGCTGGCACTACCACCACCACACAGCCCTCCAAGGGGGCCACTGCGCCAGCCGGGCCACACACAGGGGGCCAAAGGGTCTCCCTGTCGTCGAGTGCCGGGGCCAACAGCGCGCCACCGACAGCAGCAGCAGCCATCCACCATGTGCGGTCGATCTCTTACGTGCACTCTGCGGCGGGGAGCAGCCACCGCGCGTCCAGTGAGGCCAGGAGTCCTCATTCGGAAGAGAGGAGCGCACCAGGGCCTGGCGACAACAGATCGACGTCCGTCTTTGTTATGCCGCAGCCCGAGACACAAACAATGGTCAGTGAGGAGGGAGGGAGGACAAAACAAAGCAGCGGGACAATCACCCTGCCTGTGGCCGGCTGGTGTGTGTGTGTATGTGTGTGTGTCAGATTCAACTGATGCCTCGCGCTTTGGTGTCTGGCACGCCGAGCCACTTGCTGCGCAACGTCGACGTGTGCATCCGCAAGAAGGGGGACGGCGGCAAGACAGACAACACCGCTGCTGAGCAGCAGCAGACAGACAGCAGCAGCAATGGGGCGGAGAAGGTGGATAAATGATCAATGATGGGTCGGTGGGCGGGTCAGCAGTCAGTGAGGCAGGCATGCAAGGTGGGTGAATCGGCCTCAACGAGGCGGTGTGTGAGTAAGGAGGCGACATGCTTGTGCCTGTGTGGCCGGCGTGTGTGTACAGAGCGTGAATGAGATGAGTGTGGGCAGAGACCATCTCGTTGGCGTGGGTGAGTGCCTTTTTTCCGTTTCTACCCTATGTGCGGGTGAGTGGGTGAGGGTGTGAGGTGGGAGGCAGTGATGTGAGTGCGGCGGGTGATGGATTGATGTGAATTATCGGTGTCTTTCTCGTGCCGATGGCCGTCAGCGAGATACGTCATGACAAATTCCCGATCATGCATATTTGTCGTGTCAAGTTACACTGAAAGAGCAAAACACACTGCGGTGCGACCTTGTCGTGGCGGCATGCAGCGGAGTACACGACAAGGCGAGCAATCTCATCGCGTGTCTGGTTCATGAATGTCTTCATCGGCGAGGGAGGATCACGAAAGTCCACAGAAAGAAGTACACAGACACACACACACACACCTCGCCAATGACATACCCAGCGCATTAGGAGATGATTGGCAAACCGGCAAAGTGGCCACAGGAAGGTCAAACACAGAGGGACCAGACCAAACCTGCTTGACCACTGAGATAGTGCATGTCTCACTCGAGGTAATTGTTCTCTCTCTCGGGAAGCGAATTGATACCGTCCGTGATGTGATGCCGTCTCCGTCCCTCGTCGTCCATCTCGAATAGCTGACATAGCCATCGGCACGAGGAGGATATCTTCAGTCAGCAGCAGCTGATGGATGATGAATGGATGATGCCGTCCGTGATGTGATGCCGTCTCCGTCCCTCGTTGTCCATCTCGAATAGCTGACATAGCCATCGGCACGAGGAGGATATCTTCAGCAGCAGCTGATGGATGATGAATGGATGATGCCGTCCGTGATGTGATGCCGTCTCCGTCCCTCGTTGTCCATCTCGAATAGCTGACATAGCCATCGGCACGAGGAGGATATCTTCAGCAGCAGCTGATGGATGAATGGATGATGCCGTCCGTGATGTGATGCCGTCTCCGTCCCTCGTTGTCCATCTCGAATAGCTGACATAGCCATCGGCACGAGGAGGATATCTTCAGCAGCAGCTGATGGATGAATGGATGGATGCCGTGATGCCGTCTCCGTCCCTCGTTGTCCGCTTCTTGATCATCAGTGCCGCTTCTTGGTCGCCGATGCCGTGCGTGTGTGGCGAGAGCCACAGGTATCTTCAGTCAGCAGCTGATGGATGAATGGATGGATGCCGTGATGCCGTCTCCCTCCCTCCTCGTTGTCCGCTTCTTGATCATCATCAGTGCCGCTCGCTTCTTGGTCGCCGATGCCGTGCGTGTGTGGCGAGAGCCACAGGTATCTTCAGTCAGCAGATGGATGCTGTCTTTCTCGCTCTCTCGTTGTTGTTTTCTTCTTCTTGGTCTCATTCCGTCGTCTGTCCGTATGTAGTGACAGAAGAAGATCAGATAATCAATCACGGCCCTGCACCCAGCTATCGGTTAACCGCATTTCTTGTTGCTGACCCTTGCACGCCGTCACTTCATGATGAGCTGATATGCTTGCAGGGGTTGTCCTCGGCCCTCGAGACTGGACAAATATGAAATGTAAGCAGCGATTCATCAGGTCCCAAGCCTCTCGCGAAGCGCCCTGCACACACACGAGTCACAAACACACGTGTTTAAGCGTAACTTACACGCTTCATCGGTTCAAGTACCTTCTTCATGTGTCGATCCTCATTGTCGACATCGAAGGGAAAATGCCCGAGAAGATGACGTCGCATTCCGCCCGATGCACATACATATGTGTGTGACTTGCAGCGCCCTCCAGCAGATAGCGAGGGGCGGAGGAGACGGAAGCAGATCTTGATCTTCTCTGCATCAGAACAGGACACACACGCACATTCGCATGGTCATGCAACGCCTTCTCTCGTGTGTGTGAGTGTGTGAGTACATGCACTGAATGCCCTGCTGTCGATGTGCGACATGGTGTCAGACTCATTGCCGCTTGCCGTTCCAACACACTCTCCTTCCACCTGCACACACCCATACAGCCAGGCAGAAGAACACATTACTTACATTCACATGTTTGTGTACATGAAATGCTTGTGCACACATACCATCGAATGCTCGCACGCTCAGAAAGGGTCGACGTACACCGACTCGACCATTGTGCCATCGAAATCGACCACAATCGCCTGCAACTGATGGACGCGTGTGTCGTGTTTGCGGGGTGTCTTGTAGGGTTGCTCACGTTGGGGTCCTTCATGTGCGGCAGCAGGCAGAGCGCCATAGTCCCACGTCAGCCCCACCGAGTGGCTCCGCGAAGCATCCACCATGAAATCGTGCACCAAAGTGTCAGGAGACACATGGGTGGTGTGCTCATCGATTATGGGTGTCGTCTGTGTACCTCTTCTGCTGGCGTCGGCGCATGCCCAGAAATTGTTGGCCAGGTGTGTGGCATCCACTGTTGAGCCGTTCCGCTCCACTGTTGAACTGCCTGAGGAGACACGGTGGTTCGAGAGATATAGACAGCAAAATATAAAGTGTAGGCAGCGATGCCCAAGAACTCTCCTGGCGCCTCGTCGTCCGCTGGTGGGATCCTGAAGAAACAAAGAAAAACGGACAGAGACAGATGGACACTTTCATTTTATGGATGGCCTTCTCGACTAGGGGGTGCCTACCCGCCCAGTGCGCCACCACCGTTGGCACCAACAAACACCGACCCTGCTGCTGCTGCTGCTTTTGCGGCAGGGATGATATGATCTCGCTCTCACCGCTGCCTGTCGGCCGCTCGGCTTCCCCACTCAGCCTCCGCTCAAGGTCAAGCATGGTCTGCAACATTGCTTCGAGTTCCGGGCGGTTGTCACGGTCGTCCTGAAGCGCTGCGTAGGCCAAAGCGCTGACGTCTTTGGCGATTTCTCTCGCCCATTCGACCTCTGTCTCCTCCCTTTCGTGCAGCAGCCTGACGCTCTTGCGAAAGCTTCTGGCAAGCCCGTTGTCGAAGGGCTTGGGCAAGAAGCTGTCCCACTCGAGGCAGTCCTTGAGGTCATAGATAAACTTCTCGCGCCTCATCTTCTTCTCCAGCTCCTGCAGCTCCTCGGCCGGCCTCTCGTCCCTTCTTGCCTGTTTGAGGGCGGCATCCAGCTGGCGGAAGACCATGCTCGCCATGGGGTACGAATCCCCAAAGACAAAGTGGCGGAGGATGTGGTCGACCCCCGAGCTGGCGGCCTTGCGGCTAATGAAGACGGCATCCCCCTCCTCAGTCATCAGGCCGCGCTTCTTCATGGCCGTCTTCGTCTCGTTGGCCATGGACATGATCTCCTCCTTCTCTGCCCCTCCTGTCTCGGTGGCTGCACAGACGGCAACCCACCTCAGCACTGCGGTTTCAGGCGGTGCCGCGTGTGGGGTCAGACCGACGACCTGCAGCTTCTTCACCTGCTCCACATGGTCAGTGGGTACTCTTGCGAGGCCCCAAGACCCTTCTCCTTTGGGTGGCTCTTCTGCGCGGCGTCGGCGGGATCCATCATTACCGTCCCAGGGCACCGGCCGAGAAAGGCTGGGTGGTGGGGAGGGCTGGTCGATGGCCACGGGCAGCATGACAGAACACACTCCTGTCGAGCAGTGCAGCCCACTTGAGGAACACATCACTGGCCATGTTGTCAAGGGCGTAGAGGAGGGCGTTGGAGGTGGTGATGTGGGCGTGGATAAATAGACAGATAGCCCGAATGCCAATCACCACCTCCTCTCTGGCCTGGGCGGCTGCTGCGGCCAACAGGGGAGCGGTGTGCTTCTGGGAGATCTTGCGGAAGTTGTATTTCGAGATGGCGTCCATGATCTGGATGAACTCGTACTTGCCTGAATCATCGCCGCTGGACACCCAAGGTGTCACCAGGACGACGATTGGCTTCTTGGTCGCCTCATCTCCCTCTCCCTCGACAAGGATTGCCGGCTGCTCTTTGTTGGTGCTGGCAAGGAAAAGCGGCAGGAAGCCCCTCTCCCGAATGTGTGCACTGCCGCCCGCCAACTTGGCAAGATCTTACAGCTTCTGCCGCTCGCTGATGAGGCAGGCGACGTCGACCGAGGCCCCCCCGCAAAGACGCCTTGATAGACTTGTGAGAGCCCTTCCTTCTCCGACCGCACCTTCATCTCGAATGTGTGCTCCTCCTCTCCGCATCGAATGGTGATGGCTGTGGGTCTTGTCACCGGCGTCAAAGGCATGGTTGATGTCACTGTTGCTGCTGTTTCAATGCTGCACACCAATTTCTGAGAAGAGAGACGATCCACACGAGACACGGTGCTTCTCAAGGCCCACGGACGACGAGATATAAAATGTAGACACCGATAGGTGAGGCAGCAAGAGGGTGAAGTCTCCCTCAGGCCGCCTGGCTTCTTCCTGCGGCTGGGTGGCCTTCTTCCATCTCGTGTCTGATGAGTAAATCAAACACACACATGGCGTTTCCGCGGGGCTGTCTTCATCCGCTCACGGGCGTTCAAGCAGCTCACGGGCAAGGTCTTCGCCCAGAAGCAAAGAGCCTGCACACACACACACACACACACACAGAGCGCACACAATCGACGACAGGTACACACACGCACTTTGCCTTCAGTGCATACTCACCATTGATTCAGACTCGTCCACTGCAGCTCCGCTTCGTCTCTCTTGTGCAGAAGCCTGACACTCGGCCGAAAGCTCTTCGCAAGGCCGTCATAATCGAAGAGGCTCGCCAAGAAGGTCTCCCACCTTCGAGGCGAAGCTCAGCTTCTGATGCATCATTTCCTTCCAGGACCTGCATATCCTCCGGTGGCTTGCCTTCTCTCTTCGCCTGCCTAATGGGCGCCTCCAGCTTGTGCATGGCGACACTCAACATGGCGTATGAGTCGCCAGATATAAAGTGTCGGAGGTAGTGGCCGACGCCCCAGCTCACCGCCGTTGGGACGATGGAGATGCTGTCGCCCTCGGTCATCGTGTCGCGCTCTTTCGTGACCATCTTCATATTTCCCACCATTCCCTTGATCTCCTCCCTCTCCGCTCCACATGTCTCCGTCGCTGGTTGACGTGCTGGTTGTTGTCCGCTTCTTGATCATCAATCCCGCTCGCTTCTTGGTCGCTTGGAGAGTGGCCCAACATTCCATCTGCCCCTCTCATTGTTGACGACCGCTCTGCGCTGGGGCTCTGTGCCTCGTATTCGATCAGCAGCAGGTAAGCGTGGAGGTGAGCAAGGCTCAGAAGGCTGCAGCTGCTGCTGCTGCTGCTGGTGGGGCGATGGGGCGTCATCACTCTCGGTCGTCTTGCTTCCGGGCTCTTCACTACTCAGCAACCCCTCCATGTCGAGAAGACGGCGCAACATATCTTCGAGGGCCGGACGGCTGTCTGGGTCTTCTTGAAGAGCTGTGCGAGCGAGTCGGCTGATGTCGTTGGCTATCTGCTTCGTCCACTCCAGCTCCGCTTCGTCTCTCTTGTGCAGAAGCCTGACACTTGGCCGAAAGCTCTTTGCAAGGCCGTCACCATCGAAGAGGTTCGCCAAGAAGGTCACTGGAAGCAGTGCATCAGGTCGAGCCGCAAATTCTGGTGCGTCATTTCCTTCTCCAGCGCCTGAATCTCCTGCCCTGGCTTGCCTTCTCTCCTCGCCCGCCTACTGGGCGCCTCCAGCTTGTGCATGGCGACACTCAACATGGCGTATGAGTCGCCAGATATAAAGTGTCGGAGGTAATGGGACGCCCCAGCTCACCGCCGTTGGGCCGATAAAGATGCTGTCTTCGCCCTCGGTCATCGTGCTGTGCTCTTTCATGACCATCTTCATATTCCCCACCATCCCCTTGATCTCCTCCCTCTCCGCTCCACATGTCTCCGTCGCCTCGCAAATCGTCTTCCACCTCAGCACTGCCGTCTCAGGCGGGGCGAAAAAAGGGGTGAGGCCGATGATCTGCAGCTGCTTCTGCTGTATCTTGCTGTCGATGGGCACCCTTGCAAAGCCACGCGTCGCCCCTCCTTCGGGTGGCTGGTCAATCATGAATGATTGTGCCCGGGCAGTGGCCGAGGAAGGGCAGCTGGCGAGGGAGGGTGGTGGCTGCCCAGGGGCAGCACGACAGAAAGACGTTTCTGTCGAGCAGCGCAGACCACCGCAGGAACACATCATTGGTCATATTGTCGAGTGCGTAGAGGAGGGCGCTGCTGGGGGTGATGTGGGTGTAAATGAACAGACAGATGGCCCGCACACCAATCACCACATCCTTCTTGACTTGCCCAAATGCTGCAGCTGACAAGGGCGACTGGCCCTTCTGCAAGATTCATCCGCAGGGGGCGCAGCCCCCATGTGTCCCAGGAGTCTGTCCTTGCCGTTCTTGGCGTCCTTGGCGGACTGACGCGCATTGCTGAGGCTCTGCTGCGGTCTGGACGTCTTGCAGGGGGCTGGAATGAAAGGCCGGCAATCCCCGCCCGAAGCTGCCACTGATATTCTCTGCACCAAATACACGCGATGAGCAAATTAAAGCCAGCGAGCCAGCTAGCCAGCCAGCGTGTGGGTCCACACTGAATGAATGACATATCCGCCATCGTATCCGGTGAGAGGCTCGAAGCTGACACGCAAACACATGTTGTGTGCTCGCGTGTGTGTGTGTACCGAGTTGCTGTGCTGACCGATAGCTTGTGGAGGTGAACCGAGTCTACAATGGTGCCGGTGAAATCGACAACGACCATTTCCACCTGATGGACACGATGGATGACACACACACACATACACACAGACGCAAACAAACCCCCCAGTTGCACCCATTCACGCTATATTTGATGTGCGTGCGTATGTGTCGTATCGTGCTCACAAGGCAGCGAGGGACCACCTCCTGGATAGCGCCATAATCCCGACTCACCGCCGCCGAAACGCTTCTCGCGGCGTCGACGCTCACCTCCTGCACACACCAAGTCCGAACCAACGAGAGCAGTAACACACATGTGTGCGAAGATACTAATGTATTGTCCACCTCCCTTCTGCCCACACGAAAGCAGTGCCGCACGCACCTGGTCTCTCACGACCCGCTGGCCTGTCGACAAAGGCGGCAAGCGCAGTCTGTGCATCGTCCAGTCTGTGCAGACGATGCACAGACCTGCCTGTGATTGATCAGCCCCTGACGTCTAAGTTGGAGCGATCCTATTTGTCTGCATGCACACACAGCAACACACGCTTGTCTCTGCCTCTCTGTGTGTCTTTCTTCTGCTCGACATTGCTCACTTGGTGGGCGTGATGGTGCCGCTCGTCACCTGCTGATGGCATTGACCACACCTGACAAACACACCCACCCAGACACACAGACAGGCAACACTCAGGCCGACATCACGCAGACCGCAGGCTGTCTAGGGCAAGACTTACACACAGGCATGTCAAAGGCAAGATGGGAGACAGTTTCAGACCCCACCCTCCATGGCGGCCTCAAAGACCACTCGTTGCCACTCCTCCCGTCTCTGCCTCTCCTACTCGACCCATCCATCTGCCTCACCCGTTTCCACCAGCGACCATTTCTCGTGTTCCACCTTGCTGGCCGTGGAATCCTGTTCAGCCCGAAGCGGCTGGCGCCTCCACCACAATCCCTTTAGGAAAGATTCCATCTGGCCCTGGTGTTATTGGCGGCTGCTGTTGCTGCTGATGAGTCTCTTGTGTGAATCCATTCCGTATGTGGTAACCTTGGGCGAGAGTCCAGAAGCCCTAGAACAGAAAACACAGAGGAGACATGTGCATTGGCCTTTTTGTTCTACTTCACTTACGTGCCTGCGCGGCCACCGGGAACGAAAGGCTGACATCGCTGCCGTCGCCTCTCACTCAGCTGAGAATCAAGACAAAAAAAAGAAGAAAAAGAGAAAGAGAGTTCGAGTCTTCGTCACGACGTGAAGAGCCTTTACCAGCGGCGGCGCGAGGGAAGCAAACGGGAAAAATGCGTATTGTGAATCTTTCACACGGTGCACATTAGTACCGTCTACCTTCCTGTCGTCCATTTGCGTGTCTGCTCCTTGATCAGCTGCAAGACACAACAATGACACAACAATCAATCCATTAAATCAATCTTTTCTCCCTTTTTCTCGTCGGACCAGGGGATTGCGCGTCTGAGTAGCAGCGAGCGAAGGCAGTGATGTGCACTGAAGACCAGACTCCGTGAAGCACTTACCAACCTTCTGAGAAATGTGTCGAGAAAAGGAGACGGATACGGCAAAAAAAAAAAGTGGACTCGTGTGTGCAGACACATGAGCATATGAGCACACACACGGCATGGACATACACCATCCATAACACCACACCATCACCACAGCCAAGGGACATGACGCAGGAGGGAATACCTTTATGTACTCACCCGGTGGAGGTGGTTTGAGGTAGAAGGAAGGCGCGCACTTCGCTGACGCCAGGAACTTACCAGCCAGCCGCCAGCCAGTCCACAGAAGGCGGGGCACTATAGAGCGAGGCCTCGCCAGGGCCACGGCGGTTGAGGAAGGGAGTGGCGAATATCAATCGGACAAGTTGGGAGGGGCGGGAGGGGGTGAGGCGGACCACACAAGCCAGAAACCAGCTGACAGGAAGAAAAAGTGAAGGATCTGTGGCTGAAACAGGGCTGGAAAGCCGAATGCGGACGGAAATGGTGAAAACTGGATTTCAAAAATCATAAATCAGGGTTTGCGGGGTTTTGTCGTCTTGTCGCGAGAACCTCTTCGCGCGTTTCACTTTCTGTGGACAGGAGACCATAGAAGGCAAACCGAGGCCAAAAGATTATCTCAATGGGATTATCTAGTGCTGCAGACGAAGTCAGATCGCATGAGATCCGCTCACTTGGGTGAAATCTTTTCACTTTTCGCGTTTTGTGGAGCTCTGATGCTATCAGCTGCGCTTGTTTGGGTGCGCGGGGCCTTCATATCACCACCGATGGCTGTTGAGGTCCAAACTAGTTGACCAGCCGGGTTTGTGGACGGAAACGTTTTCTTGGTGACCTTTGCAATGGATGATTGCGTGTGTCTATGGTGATGGTTTCACCTTCGGTGGCATTGAGTGGAGCTCTTCATGAGCTGCATCGCCTCGAAAAAGGCACCGGCTCACTCAAACTGACATCAACAGGCCAGACACTCATGCATGATGGCATCGATCCTGTGTACTAGTAATCAACACCTGGCACACACGATGGCATGGCCGGGCACCAGATGGATCAGCCACCAAGCGGCATCAGTCGGTCGCCATGAACATGCCGTACTGTACACCCATTTGCCCTGCGGACAAGAGAGATGAAACTGAAGCCAGCTGTTTGTCCTGATTTCTGTGTGTACCCTTAAAAAAGAGAGAGTGTGTACTCATTGTATGCGGTGACCCAACCTGGCTCAATCGAAAGGGTCAGATCGATCAAAAGCCACCAGGAAGAAAGCCACGTGCATCCACAGGTCTTCTCTCCTCTCCTCTCGTCCATAGCCCGCCACTATGAGTCACAACAGCTTATCACATCCGGGGGATGATGACACTCTCGTGAGTGAGCAACGCTCGCACAGGCCGCACGCCACCCTGAAAGAGGTAAAGAGGGATGGGTATGTGTATGCGTGGTTTGGTACTGGATCATTCGTTCATTCTGCCTCGTGTTTGCTGATTGAATCATCAGCATGCCAAGCAGAATGGACGCACAAGCTCTCCAGGTGGAGACTGTCGTGTGCGTGCACGATTGTCCTGCCCGTTGTCCTATGCCCATACCCCGATGATAGGCGGGGGGTTGTGCACACGTACGTGTTGAGGCCATCCTCTTGGACCTGCGCAGATGACATTGATATGGAAGCTCCAGTGGCTGAGTGACCACCCCGCGTTCCAGACTGTTCGTTTGCTTTGCATCTCACCTGGTGGGATGACGCAATTGATGACGGGTCAGGTCCGATGGGGGCTCGAAAAGAATGACTTGAGGGAGGCGCCTCTGCGGCCCCTGAATCAAAGACATACATAACAAGGAATGCATGTGGCGGTGAATTCATTGTTGTCTGCCCCTCGCTGAGTGGTGATCGTTTTCGAGCTTGCCAATGAAGCTCGCAAAACTTGAGAGGCTGCAGTGGAGCGGCAGGAGCTGATGGCGCGTCACAATAAGCGCTCCCAGAAGAAGAACGATGGCGGCGAGAAGGATGTGGATGAAACCAACCGGCTGATGGAGGAGAGGGTATTCCCATTGATGCTGGACCAGGAGAGGCTCAAGTGTAGACAACAGCCATGCGGTGAGTGCACGAAAGCGAACAGGAAGGAAGATGCGAGTCGGGAACAGACTCATCCATCACGTGTGATTTGTTCTGTCAACTGATCGGGGTCGGTTAGGGGTGTGTTTGCTGGATTTCGAGGAGGGCGATGTCGTCCGCGGCAGCACCACATCGCGGCGAGACTTCCGTCTGGGCCTCATCGACACTTGCCCGCATGCCTTCCACTACAAGTGCATCGAGACCTGGGCCAGCCAGGAGAACAGCTGCCCTCAGTGCAAGAAGCGGTTCATCGCTATGGCCTGCTACACCAACACCGGACGCCGACAGAGCTGGGTGAGGAGCTACGGGAGAGGCGACGCAACAACCACACATGCAATGCCACCAACCAACCTTGACAGAATGACTGTGCTCTTTTTAACGCAGCGTTTTGTGGATGAGGCTCACTTGGTGGACACCCTATCGGACTCTGACGACGAGTCCGATGCAGGCGATTCGGACTTCCTCGATTCAGAATCGGAACTGTTCCGCGAGCCGGGACATTCACCTTCTGACCTCTCCGAGGCACGCGACCAGGACGAGGCAGATGAGCCTCCACCGCTTCGACGAAATCGACGCGCGAGGGCAGAGCCGTCGGCACCTGCTCCTGCTCCTGCTGCTGCTGCTGCGGCTGGGCCACCCGCGCAGCGCGGTCGGCCGGCTCGCAGAGGTCGAGGGCGGTCGGCCGATGGGCCGGGGAGGGGGCGTCGGAGGGCGAGGGAAGATAGCCATGAGGAGGGCCAGGGTGATGGTGAGGCTGCCGATAAGGAGAGGGAGGAGCGGCGCAAGAAGAGGAAGGCCGAGGAGGTCAAGAGGGAACCTGTGGATGAGAGGATGGCTGCGAAGGTGCGTAGCGAACAACCAATGAACAGACGAAGCTTCCCTCTTCCCCTGGTCCCATTTCGCTCATTGTGTCCGTTCAGATTCGTGCTCGCATCGAGCGTCAGCTTGCCCGCATGCCCTTCTACAGCGTGTCCGGGCCGATGGTGTCACGCCCAGCTGCAGCAGCTGCATCTGGTGGTGGACAGGCAGCGGCAGCTGGTGCGTCTGCCGCCGCCGCCGCTGCTGGCGCATCGGACACTGACCCCTCCCATCCCCAATACAAGATGGACATGGACGCCGACGACGACGAGACCGACGACAAGCCGGCCCGTCGGCCCCCAGCTGTATCGTCCAATCACGGGCCCCTGCCCTTCATGCAGACAGCCGAGGGAGCCGGCGATGCCCCTCGCCCCGCCCTTACTGCGGAAGGTGGCGACGAAAAGGCACCCAATCGCGTGCTCAAGCTGGCTGTTGATGACGGCAAGGCGGCGACGGGGGGTCGAGGCGGCGGGGCGAGGCGAGGTGCGGTGAGGGTGCGTGTGGGGCAATTCGCAAGGGGCCGGGCGTTCGGGGGCTTTAGCGGTTTCGACCTTAAGCCGGACTACTCGAGCGACTTCCTGCTTGGGGGCAAGAAGGATCAAGATGAGAAAGGAGAAGAGGAGGAAGAGTGATTAATGTGTCCCAGGACTGCGCCTTGCATAATGATGGTGCGTACGTGTCGATTGGATTGCGCTGTGTTGACTATGTGACCTGCATGGTCCGCACATGGCTTTGACTGTACAGTCATGGATCGACAGAGGCCCATGCAATACATGTCGGCATGAGTCGACTCCGCGCACTCGCACTCATTCAAGAGCCCCCACTCACCCATCTATCTGACAAACCGAAGACGCATACGACTCGTCACGCTCCGCGGCATGCCTGTCTGTCTGTCTGTCTGTCACTCATCCGCTCTGCCCGTCAGAATGGTTTGGAGCAAAGGGTGCATTTGGGTGTCGGCTCTGGCGCGAACTCCTCATCGTCATCGGCATCGTCGGTGCCGCCCGCCAGGATCGCGCTCGTGGCACGACCCACAGTAGACCTTGCAACCTATTCACGAACAAACAGATGACCATTCTGTGCATCTGTGTGTGGTGTCCCTCCCTCCTTCTCTTCCCTCACTGACCGCACGGCAGCACCACTGCGCGTGTCTCCGACAGGCAGGCCATGCAGGCGCTCTCCCTCTCACGCTCAGCCACCTCTGTCTTGGCACGCTGTTCCTCGGCCGCCCCCCGCAGCTGTGTCAGCCGGGTCACCTCTCTGTCGATATTGGTCATGAGGCAGCCCAGCTCCGCCGAGCTGATGTGATGCAGCCGGGCACCGCTGAGCCGATCACGCTCTGAGTGATGCATTCTGCTGGCTCAGTCGCGCGTTCTCGTCCTGGAGGGACTGTATCGCCGCATCGCGACGTCATCCAGACTTACGGATGGATAGTTGCCCTGGAATATGACGCGCAGCGCTTCAGCTGGAAAGCCCTCCTTGGCCTCATACTTACGCAGCACGTCCGCTACCTGCGAAAGGCAGACAGCACACACGAGAGATGATACCAGGGACCATGACGCATTGGTGCAATACATTCATCGGTTCTCACCAGATCTCTTCGCTGCACTTCCAGCACCACGCCGTGCGATGCCGCATTGCCAAAAAGAGAGATTAAAAAACATGCAAGCTCGCAGTGAAGCTAAGCTCGCAGGGTCGCCAGCTGCCGCTCATCATCCGCGGCTGCAGCTTCGTCCACGTGCTCCACGCCCCCTCTCGCCCCCTCTCCCCTTCTACGCTCTCAGATCTTCGCATCACTGCGTCGGTTGCATCGACTCGACGGCCCTCACGTCCACGATGCTGAGGAACAGGCACACCACTTTCAAGATCATGAAGGCCTTCAACTCCACGCTCGCCGCCGTCACGCAGCAGACCACCTTGGCCATCACGCGTGCTGCCAAGGGCCCACTGCCAGACTTGCAAGTGCCTGACGTGCACGTCAAGCCGATGAGTGGCACTGTGTCACTGCACATTGGCAACGAGAAATGCGGCGAGACGAACCTCGGCGACGGAGACTTCGGCACGGCAGGTGACGGCATCGTCACCATCGGCCAGCAGGCCGTCAACAAGGTGGCGGCGGACAAGCTCGAGGTCGGCCAGAGCGGAGAGCTGCTGTGTCAGGCCAAGTTCAACGTCACAGACAGCAGCGGGTACGCAGGGGGAAGGGGAGCGACACAGGCACAGGCACTGTGCTCGACGCATCATGCAATATGTGTGTGTGTGTGTGTTGTGCGTTGTCTGTGACGCCTCTGTCCGTTTAGTTTGGTCGTGGTTGGCGGCGATGGGTCGACCACTGTGCACGTGGCCAAGAACGGGGTGGTGTTCCCGCAGACCATGGGCCCCCCCACATACCCCACCACCATCACCGTGACGGCCACCGGCTATGCGGCCATGGACGTGGGAGGCACCACCATCACACCCAAAGGCGGCGGCGTCCTCAGCTACACCGGCACCATCACCGGCGAGTGCGACCTGACGGTGGTCCTCAAGACGCCCGCCATGGACCCGGTGCTGGCGAGCCTGGACCCGAGTGGGCCTGCTGCCAACGGCCACAACGATGCGAGTGGCGATGATGATGATGACGACATGGATGTCGAGTGCGGCCGCGAAACAGCGGCCCAGCGCCAAATGGACGTCGAGTGAGCCGGCAGACGGAGGCGTGAGAGAGCCGAGCGGGGGAAGGTGGTATGGTGTGTGGTGTGGTGTGATGTGGTGTAGTGAGGGGAGTGCTGTGTGGTATTGTGAGGTGCCCATTCGGCCATGAGCACATGTGTTTTTCGTTTTGCGTGAATGAGTTGGGGATCGATCAGTGGCGTCAGAGCAGAGAGGGGGACGGAGAAGCATGGTGTGTCGACATGTGCGTCAAAGTTAGTCCAGAGAGACGGCCAGAAAGGGTGCATGCCCTGGATGTGCGTTTAAGTCGTGTGTGCATTAGGATGGTCTTCCCTTTGTAAGCTATACGTGAACGGGGACGTGTGCAAAGAGGGAGAGAGAGAGAGAGAGAGAGAGAGAATGGTTTCTGTGCGTGCAAGCTGCTGCAACCTATCCTTGATTGGAGTCTAGGTATTTATCCGCTTCCTCTTCTTTGTATTGTATATATTATGTGGCTCCGCTGCTTCCACACCCGGCCGTGTGTGCACTAGTGCTGCATGAGCTGAGGTGTTTTTGCCCATCGTGGGCGGACAGGTGGGACGAGGGACATATGTCTGTCTGGCTCATGATGTATACATACAGTACCGATGAGACAGTATCATATTACATGCATCGCGTGAAGGAGGATCACGTGAGACCACAGACAAACACACAGAAAGACGCCTCACTAATCACATACAAAGCGCATTACCGGCACCACCCGGCAATGCAAAGCATCCAAAAGACAGAACAGTTCGGACGTAGAGCCAAAGAGAGCACCATGGCGCCTTTGATGGTGAAAAGAAGGAGCGATCAGCAAAGAAGGTAGCAAAGGAAGGCGTATTGTAACCCAACGAGGACAGGAAGCGAGCAACGCACCATCTATCACGCATACCAAGGGCTTTATCACCCGAGACACTGAGCAATGCAACGGCCAGGATGCGCTCGTTGCACGACCCACAGTAGACCTTGCAACCTACACAGGCACACATGACATGCGCACCGACTGATGAGTGTGTATGGTGTCCCTCCCTCCTTCTCTTCCCTCACTGACCGCACGGCAGCACCACTGCGCGTGTCTCCGACAGGCAGGCCATGCAGGCGCTCTCCCTCTCACGCTCAGCCACCTCTGTCTTGGCACGCCGTTCCTCGGCCGCCCCCCGCAGCTGTGTCAGCCGGGTCACCTCCGAGTCGATATTGGTTATGAGGCAGCCCAGCTCCGCCGAGCTGATGTGATGCAGCCGGGTACCGCTGAGCCGATCACGCTCTGAGTGATGCATTCTGCTGGCCGAGTCGCGCGTTCTCATCCTAAGGGGACTGCATCGCGCTCTTCGATAATGGAGTTTTTCTTGTCGATCGTGTTGGTCAGGGTCCTGGTGCTCTTCTGCTGCTCGGCGATGGTGCGGTCCTTCTCCAAGATAGTGTTGACCCTCACGAAGATGGTACGATCTCTCTTCCCGAGGGTCACCGTCACCTGACAAGAATATGACACCGGAGGAATGGCCATCGGCTGAGTGAGTGCAGCGGCCCCCTAGCAACTTACGTCGTGCAGTTCTGTGAGCGCCTTGAGGTACTTGGTCTCCCATGGACTGAGCGACACGATGAGGGCCATCTGGGCATCCCGCACCGAGGCAGCACTGCCCACTTCCACCTTGGACAGGATCGACACCACCGTGCGGGCCGCCCAACTTCAGCTCGAGATCGCCAAACGAAAGCTGCGCCACTGATCAGAAGAGAACAGACAAATAAGAACAAGCACGGGATTGCGACTCGGGCCGGATGCGGCGAGCACTTCGTGCGATCCGTACCCTGGCACACTGTGGTCTGCGAGTTGACTTCGAACACGCCAATCCGCGGCCTTCCGTGGGCGTCGCCCACGATCTGAACATTCTGCGGGACGCAAGACAGACCCCATCCGACATTCATTCCTTTCGCCAGCCCGGCCCTTCCTGTTTTCTGCCAATCTCACCGTCTTGTGTCCTGAATTGTAGGCCTCCAACAGTCGGGCGCGGTTCTCCACACTGCTCTCAGGAACGGTATGATCGACTCCCTGAGCGGTCAACAAGACATACGTACATGGCCATGGAGGCTTCCCACTCAGCCTGCCTGCCTGCCTCGCACCTCTGTCGATAGAACTGACGACTCGGCGCAAGTCGGGAAGAAGAGATCTGGATGGATTGATGGATGGTCAGGAAGGCGCATGTCTCCATCCTCAGATGTACTGGCGCCCAACGAGTTAATGCAGGCGCAGTTGTGCCTGCAGGCAGGAGGATAGATGACTTGGTGTGTGTGAGTGTGTGTGTGTGTGTGTGTGAGTGTGGAATACCTGCCTTTGTTGGGGTCGTCCACATTGAGCCTGCAGACACACAGGAAGGCGCACACACAATCCACGCAGGTACATGATTTGCCTTCACTGCATGCTCACCATTAATTGAGAGGAACCCATGAGAAAGGAGCCAAGAATGAAGCATTGTCTCCAGCAACTCACAAACGTGCTTGTCAGATGAAGAGAAAGAAACCAAGGTCTCCTAGCAAAGGAAACATCAACGCAGGTGACAACTCTGCAAGGAGAAAGAGCTAGCGTGAGTGCCAGCAGCGAAAACAGCAGCGAAGCGAGAAGAAACATCTCCTGACCCACCGACTCAGCAAGCGCATATATAACGTGTGTAAGCAATGAGGCTAGTGAACAAGGCCGATGCGGATGAGAAAAAAGGCCATGTCTCCAGCGACTCACAAGTGTGCGTATCAAATGTATTGCAGACATAGAGATGGGTGCATCATCAGTGCAGTATGCAGAGGCAGAGAGAGGAAATAACAACCCCACACGTACGCCCTCGAATGAGAGGAAAAAGGAGAGAGAAAAGGTACGTCAGCAAATGGGAGACACTATGCAGGCGAACAGCTAGGCGGCCAGACATGCAGACAAAGGCAAAGAGGTCCTGGAGGACATCGATCGGCACGGTACGTAGTTACTCGTTTCGAGCGAAAAAGCGCCATGCACACGTAGGAATGAGAGGAAAGATACACGAACGTGTGTGGTAAGGCACGGTGCAGACAGGCATTTACCAGGCAGGCGAGACACCGTGCGTCATTTCTGACTTACACACAGGCAACACTCAGGCCGACATCACGCACGCAGACCGCAGGCTGTCAAGAGCAAGATGAGAACCAACCTCAGACCCCGCCCTCCATGGCCGCTTCAAACACCACCCACTGCCACTGCTCCGCGTCTCTTCGCCGCTCATCCTCCACCCAGCCCTCCGCTTCCTGTGTCTCGACTAACGACCAATTCTCCTCATCCGCCGCCTTGCTGTGCTGCGCAGTGGGTCGGACGCGCCTTGACCACAGCCGCTTAAAGAAAGACCCCAGACTCCACCTGGCCCTTGTACTGTTGGCAGCTCTTTCTTGCTGGTCTTGCTGCTGCTGCTGCTGCTGTTGCTGCTGCTGCAGAGTGACCTCATCAGTTTCGGCAGCCATCACGGCCTCACGCCTCTCCTCTGTGGCCGGGGGAGGGAGCTTGGAAGCGGACGAGGGCATCTCGAGACACGACGGCAACGATCCGGTCTCGCCCATGCCGCTCGAAAGCACTCTTCCGGCCACGCCATCTAGCGAAGGCGATGCCGCCTCGCTGTCACTGCTGCCCGTCGGCCGCTTGGCTTCATCAGAGACAACCGAAAATTGGTCGTTGCTGCTGAGCCTCCGCTCAAGCTCCAGCATGGTGCGCAATATATCCTCCAGCTCCGGGCGCTTCTCGGCCTCCTGCTGAAGAGCTCCTTGAGCTAGGCGACTTATGTCTTTCGCAAGATGTGTCGCCCACTCCAACTCCGTCTCCTCCCTCTTGTGCAGCGGCTTAATGTTCGGGCGAAAGTTCCTGGCGAGGCCGTCGTTGTCAAAGAGACTCTGGCAGAAGCTGCTCCAGTGGAAACAGTGTTCTAGATCCTTCCTGAGTCTCTCCCGCTTCAGCTTCTCCTGCAACTCCTGCACCTCCTCGGCCGGCTTATTCTCCCTCTTGGCCTGTTTGAAGGCGGCGTCGAGCCGGTAGATGATATTGGTGAGCATCGAGTACGAATCCCCAGAGACGAAATGGCGGAGGTGGTGGCCGACCCCCCAGCTGAGCGCCCTTGAGCTGATGAAGATGGCATCCCCCTCCTTGGTCATGGTGCCGCATTCCTTCATTCCCCCCTTGATTCCCTCCACCACGCAGTCGATCACCTCCTTCTCTACCCCCCGTGTCTCTGTGATTTCACAGATTGTCTCCCACCTCAACACTGTCGTCTCGGGCGGGGCAAAAAAGGGCTTCAGGCCGACGATCTGCAGCTGCTTCTTCTGCTCTCTGTGGTCAGTCGGCACTCTTGCGAGGCCCCGACCTGCTCCCTGGGGAGGCTGGTCTGCGCGCAGCGCGTTGGCGGGATCGATCATCACACTGCCTGGGCAGTGAGCGAGAAAGGGCGGCTGGCGAGGGAGGGTGGTGGATGGACATGGGCAGCATGACAAAAATACCTCTCTGTCGACGAGCGAAGTCCACCGCAAGAACACATCACTCGCCAGGTTGTCAAGGGCGTAGAGAAGCGCGTTTGAGGCGGTGATGTGGGCGTGGATTAACAAACAGATAGCCCGGATGCCAATAAGCACCTCCTTCCTGGCTTCAGTGGCTGCTGTGGCTGACAAGGGCCCCTTGTACTGCTGCGAGATCTTCCGCATGTTGTATCTTGAGATGGCGGCGCCGATCTCGATGAACTCGTGCTGGGCCGGGTCATCGCCGCTTGACACCCAGGGTGTGACCGGGACGATGATCGGTCGCTTGGTCGCCTCGTCTCCCTCTCCCTCGATGAACATTGCCGGCTGCTCTGTGTCGGTGCTGGCGTGGTACAGCGGCAGGAAGCCCCTCTCCCGAAGGTTTGCACTGCCGCCCGCCAGCTTGGCAAGATCTTCCAGCCGCTGCCGCTCGCTGATCAGGCAGGCGATGTCGGTCTCCACCAACTTCTCGTCCGTCATAACCGTTTTGAATGCGGCCTCCTCCCCCCCACAGTAGACGCCTTGGTAGACTTTAGAGAGGGCGCCCTTCTCCGACCGCATCTTCATCTCAAACGTGTGGTCCTCCTCCCCGCACCGAATGCTGATGGCTGTTGGTCTTGGCACTTGCGTCAAAGGCATCGTGGCTGCTCCCAATGCAAAGATCTGAAACGCCG